AAAGATACAATACCTTATTTGAATTTGATGTTCTTTTAAGTGTGGTCCCCCATTTTTCTCAAATGACCCCCTTTTGAAAAGTTTGTGGGCCCAAAGGGCCCCCTGGGAATTTGTTCTAGATTGAACACTGCTGTTAGTATATAAAATTCTCTGGATTTTAATTGTCTTAGAATGGGACAATGCCGGTGTTTTTTTCTCTACTTTGGGAATGGTGCCGGTACCAGACTGATTGGGAAAAAATGCGTTATTTTGACTTGAATTGGGAATTTTTTTTTATGCATTTTTTCAGCTACAAATAAAATTAGTCATCATGAATAAAGATAGCTAACAGCGTAGAACTATTGTGTGGTGATTTAAATGAATATGTTCGATTTAAATGATTTCAGAGAAATCACTTGGCCTTGTGGAAATTTTGAAAACCATTTTGGGAATTTAAACATTGGAAATTGGGAATTTTAATGTCTATTTTGTATTGGGAACAGTACCGTTTTAGGGTAGGAAAAAAAACACTGAATGCAATATTTCTATCATTTGAAACACTGTAAAAAATTTAATAGAATATTGCATAAATGTAGGAAAACTGGTTAAAATATATTTTTACTTAATGGTTACATTTTAAACACAATTTATGCTTTTCTCCCATATTTCGTGCATTTTTCCTGTCTTATATTTGGAACTGTTATTTTTTAATAATTTTTAGTTTGGAACTAAAAATTAATTTTAAGTCGTTTTGAATAAAAAATCCTGGAACAATTATGATTATCTAAGCTAGAATTAATATTTAAGCGGTTACAAGCCATGTGACGAGTGCTGCCTTAATCTACACTGTTTTCTATTCAATTAATATATACAGAGGGAAATTCTACCTAAAAATAATGAATTGTTATGAAAGACAAGTTAATTTAAGATATATAACACAAGAAAGATTAAAGAGTACTGGTTGGGGACCACCAAAGCCGGACGGCCCTTGAAATGTTTAATTTAGTATTTTCTTTGTTCAGTGGTTGTCAGTCACTTTTTATCAACAATAAACGCATGTTTCTTCTCAAATTAAGTAAATAATTTTATTTCAACCTCCATAAATGGTAATATTTTAATGTCTATATTTCAAGAATGTTGACGTTGAAATTTGGGGGTCAATAAAGCAATGCCTGACCTCATATACCAGCTATAATCATTTGCAGAGTAAACAATAGATTATCCAAAACTTCAGCATTTGTTGCTGAAATATTGTATATTATGTTAAAAATCAAAACACCCAAGCTTTTATCTGAATTAAATCACATCATGTACATATCTGTCCGGACACATGGTACTGTAGTGTAGACACTTTAGGTGATTTTGATACCTTCCTTGTCAAGCCTCAGATATAAGTGTCAATACATTCAGAAATAAACAAACTAGTTTGTTAGTTAGGAGAAGTACTTAGCTGAAATGTGTTAAAAAATTTTATCTCTAGGTTAAAAATTATGAAATCTGTACGAAAAAATGTTCCTTGATGGTCCCCGACCAGTACTATTAATGGTATTTGCAGGGTTCAAACCGTTCAATGATAATAAGACAAAATATGTTTATGTGTAAATGAAATATTATTAGTTTGTTTTTTTTCTTTCCTGATTATTTTGACCTTGACCTTTTTGTAAACACATGTTGACTGTCCTCAATGTAACCCAATAACTGTTGCAGTAAGATATAGTAAATTTGATCTTTTTTGTGAGCAGATCAATAGTGTTTATAGACTGGTTAGTTTTATCTCATAACATGTTGAAATAATTGAATGGACTTGTCCAGCTTTCAGTTTTGGGACTGTCCATTATCAATAATGTGGATGTCAAGATGAATAAAGCTTAATGTGTTCTTCCTACCAGTAGGATAGTAGACTAATGTCTTTGGTTCAAGCTGGTTAATGATAAATAGATGTTATTCGGAACTCGGCAAATGTAGGTTTTTACATGTTAATCCCCAGTCAAACAAACTTTTACTGTTATAACTTCACGGTGCACTATCTGTCACAATAAAACTTATTAGACTTTATCGAAGCTGTAACTGTAAAAGTTTGTTTGTACCCCCGGATTAGCTGGAAAAACCCAAATATTCTTAATTCCCCAGTAAGTCTATTACCGCAAAGACAGGTGGTTGAGGCCATGGTATATATATATGTTTTTTCCTAGAAACTAGCAGAAAGTGAAAAATGAAAATGCTAAGGTAAAATAAAGTTGTAAAATACTATTATAGGGGTCATGAATGTGGAAAAGATTTATGGAAATGAGATATTTGGTATATTTGAATACCATGTGCTAAACAAAATGTATTTATATACATGCAAACAAATTTAAATGATTGACATTTACTTGCCTGTCAGCAATTTCTTGCTCAAGCCCCATAGTGCCGAATATGGCCTACACAATAAGCAAGTATTTAGTGTATGAAATAAAAGAAATAACAAAACTTGAAAAGCTATTGACTAGACTGAAATGGAAATATTTTGACAGATTAAAAATGAAAAAAAGTTATATACAAATATTAGCAGTTTGTGACTGGCTGCAACTTAATTAAACATTTAGATCTAGTATGATATTGTTATGAATGGTAGAGGTGCGCGGTTTAACCGGTATACCGGTAAACCACGGTCCGAGACATCTGCGGTACGTACCGCGGTACAGACCAGGAAAACCGGTACTTTTAGCTCTAATTTAAAGCAATTACAGATCCGTAAAATGTACTAAATTAAAAAACTTTTTCTGTTGTATACGTTAATGTTTCTTTGAGTTAATCTTTTTGCAAACAACTTTCGCCGACTATTATCATTCTTCGATATTTCTTAGCGAAAATTGAATGCTTTATCGAAAACCGCATGAAAGCCAGAATTGTCGACTTGCATGATTTCAGTTGAAGAAGAAGAATTGTCGACTTACATTTACTTGTCTAAATAACGCTTATTTGATACGAAAACTAATCGTAAAGATTGATAATTCATGAGGGCATTCCTTGCATAAAATTAGGGTGTTACTATTTTAAGTATTTATATAAATAGCGACCAATCAGGCTAGGGGTTTTCCTTACGTCACACACTTAGTGCATGCGAATGGCAATTAACTAATTATATAACGGCATAGAGTAATGTTCGTTCAACTAATGAATATTAATTAAGCAGTAACATGGTCAGCTGTTTTCTATGTGATAATTTTAATTTGCTTTTGGGGTACATGTTAGTTTTGGTTTTTGACACAGATTAATTGAATACTTAGCCCTTGCAATAAAAAAATTACAATAGCAGCTGGGACTCTGTTATAAAATTAACCGATAAATAAATATTTGTCATCGGCTAACGTGCATTTGACCTATTATTTCATTAATCAATAAGCAATAAAAACATTTTATTTTTCCATTTTAACTATATGCAATTTATATAACAGTTGTTAAATGTTGAAAGAGACCAATATGTAATAAAAAAAAACAAGAACTGATCCATGACCCAATTAATTTATGATTGTCAACATGCGAAAGTACCTGATTGAAAAAAGTTAAATGGTGCTTTGATTAATCTGTATTTTATAGATCTGCTTAAATTTAATATTTGAAATTCTATACCAGCCTACCTTGATACTTATTTTAGGGATAAAAATTAACCTATAGCATACAATGAAATTCGTGGTATACCGCGGTTTATACCGTGGTTTTTAGGAAAAAACCATGGTATACCCTGGTATTTTCTTTCTGGCGGTACCCAACTCTAATGAATGGCCTTGAATAAAACTATTCTGTAATCTTATGTGACCTTTGTGGAAAGGTCATTGACAAATACATTTATAATGTAAGATTAAATGAGATAGGCAATCAAAAAGAAATCACATGGTTGAATGATTTTGCTATTTTAAGGTTAACCCTTATCCTGCTGATTGGACAAGTTCAGCTTTGTCATTGGACCTGACCATCGTTGAATTTAGGGAGTTTTTTGATAAATTTGAATCACAATGATATTATTATGAAGATAATAGTAATATTGAAGAGTCTGGTCAGACTGCTTGAATATTTAGACTGGGCAGACTATATACAGGCTGGACAGTAACAGTAGTTTGTCAAATAAACTCAAATAAAAGATTTTTTATATTGTCTTGAAAGCCTCATGTGTCCAGATGACCAAAAATTAATATTGAAAAAACAAATCAAAATAAAGATAATGTACTGGGATTTTAAGAAAAGTAAAAATATTCAAGATTCAAGTAATCTTAAATATTATTTTGTGATTTGCAATATATCTATCAACATATTTCTACTGTGTGACTAAAACACAGAGCTATAATTTTGCATATTTTGATCTCTTTTCGGTGATTTATGTGGATTGTAAGTGCTGCCTGCAATTTGTAAATAACTTTCTTTGCTTACTTCACAATATTTTGCTTTAAAATTTTCATGAAAATTAGCATGAACCTGAAGGCATGCTGCTTTACACAAATTTTGTATAGGTTATCATAGATTTGCCTTTGTAGTATCTTTCTGCCACATATAATGATTGTACATGTATGTTTCTGAAGTCATGGTCACTCATTATAATAATAGGCTTTTCCTTCGTTAAAATTCTTAGATTATAATTTGGACCTGGTAAATAATTTTAATTGTAACAGTTTAATATATTTGAGCTGGCAAACTCTGGTTTACAAAATTTACTAGAAACTTGACATACTTGTCTTAAGTCTGTAGAGCAAAACATCAATTATTGATTCACTAGTGGATGTGTCAGAGGTTATCATTATTACTTATTATAATTAAGGTGTGCACAAGGAAGTTCAATATTCATTAGTCCAGGGAAGAACTTTTCAATTTTATATCAAAACACATGACCTCCCTTTTATAAAATTTTAAAACCTTTATAAAAATCTTGTATTTATCCCAGCATTGAAAAGTCACCTATTCACGTGTACAGGTACAGGTAAATCAAAATTGTTATGTGACAGTTTATCTATATATCAGTGACGGAAGACATTACATCACTGTGTTTGCATTGTACACAGTGCAATATTTACTGTGATAATATAATATTAGTTACATTACATACATGTACACATAATTAACAATATTTTACAGTGACTACTGTGTTAGTAAGGTCGATCATTGGACATAGATAAATGATGTGTGGTATTTGAGGACAGTTTGTTCGAAATCGGTGTAGGAAAAGTTATTCTGTAGATAAAATATGCATGTTTAAAATGACATGTAATTGGAATTAATTTAACATCGTATGTGTGACCAATTTTGCAAGTTTCATTTTTGGAACATTAAGAATTTACGTTAAGAAAATAAAATAAAATGGAAATGTTTTAATGAATTGAAAAGTATGATGAATACATATAGGTTTTAACGTACATTGTGCTTTTAAAGTTTTATCTGCGAAGGAATGGGTCTATTCATACAGTTTTACCCATAGAATTTTCTAAATTTGTTTTAAAAGGTTTTAAATTATATATAGTTATTTATACTAGAAGTGTGTTAATGCACAGCATAGGAATTTCAGTTGATTTGTGTTGTAAGAATGAGCTCCCTCACAGAATCGGATGAGGACCTGTTTTACACACCTAAGATTAGTTCACCTGGAAACTTTCGTAGATATTTGGATATATCTCGGTCTGATTCCCTGTCTGAAGATGACATAGGGAACCATTCTGGTAATGAAGGGTTTATTGATGATGAACTCTTTCCAGATACCAGTCTGCCTGAAGCAGGTGTGTTATTGAAGCAATTTCGAAATCTTTTTTTTTTGAGTTTTAACAGGCTGATGCCATCACTTGTGATTACTTGTTTAATGTCATTACTCGTAGATCATAATTTATTGATCAGCTGTACAATATAACCATACTCTATATAATTGCTGTAATTTAATATTTTTATTCTGAAATACTGAAAATCACCTATTCAATTTTTAGTACTTTCATTCCAAAGGGTAATGGCTCAAAGTGTTGTATTTGTGATATTTTTTGTGTAAATTTAAAATTGCATGTTCACTTAATAAATTTTTTTGCGGTACATGTGTAACAATGTCTCAAAAATTAATTGGTACTGAACTAGTGGTCACATTCACAGAGCTGGCATTAATGATATTTTGTGTACATAAATAACCAGTATAGATTCTGTACAAACTACCATTTGCTTAAATCTGACTGGAAACTACTGTGATGGCTATTGATAATATTTTAGTAATTTGATAATGAATCCTTTAAACAAGTTTAAATGGACTGGTCTAACTTACTTAATTCAAATCAGGACAGTCCAGTAATTTTTTTTGGTTGATTTTGACCCCGAAATAAGGCCTCTTCACAATGCCAAAAACACATAAAAAATTCACAAAAATTTGTAAAAAATTCACAATTGGCAGGATTGCTTTTCAGTTCCAAATAAATAATGTACTGACAAATGACAATCTTGAGAATTTGATTGATATATTTAAGGGAATAAAAAGAAGAAAGCTGAAACTATGAATATAATTAATAAAATGGATGAATAAAGTGCCTACAGGTGATGATTTATTCTTGTTTATTTTTTCACAATTTGACAGATTATCGCGCTAAAAATTCACAATGGTTGTTGCGAAAAAAGTAAAAAAAAATCACTGCAGTCCTTTACACAAATTAATTAACTTATAGGTTAACATTCAAACTTGACAGCATTCACACCTTATTACATGAAGTATGTATCATTAAACCCCCCCCCCCACCTTCTTTTTATTACATTCAGTATTATGTACTTATCATCTGGTAGTGAATCATATTGATATGTTTGTTGATGCATTAAATCTTTCACCATGTATGATATCATTTCTTGTAGATTAGGCTACTTTTCCACCAATATTACATCTTTTCCCCTAATTTATGAAATCTTTTCCCTATTTATGATCATTTCCCATTTATAATAAACAGTTTTTCCCCACTACATGTATATGGTATGATAGGTTTACTTTTTGTACAGGTTAATATCATTTGGTTAATGTATTTACTTGGCAGTAGAAGATTTATATAAATGTTTATTTATCTTCCAGATTTGTACCCGGACTTAAGCTCACCTAACTTTGAGGGTGGCCAGGAAGTACATGGAGACCATGGAGAACCGGCTCAGCCAATACCCATGTCTGATGAACAAAAGAAAGAATTACAGGATGAACTTGAGAAGGTCAAATATCATTTATGAACTTTAAAGTAAAATTTGAAATCATCACTTAGAAATAATTACATGTAAATTGGGTCTGGACTTGTGACCACTTCTGTAAAAGTAGCATTCCCCCATCTCAAGTATGCACAAGTAGTCACTTGTTGAAATTTTGTTTCCCCTCTTTGTAAAACTTTAATTTGAAAGTAGTTTCATAACCATTTTCAACCATTTTAAGACTTTTATACCAGATATGTTGGTGGTACAGTATATGTATATGGAAAAAATGTGCCTAAATTTGAAATCTTTAAAATAAACAGAAAATAATTATCAAATGAAAAATTAAACTGATACATATGAATTATGATATGAAAATTGATCTTAATTTGCAGGTATTTTAAGCAGAAAGGACTTGGTATTTAAAAGTTTATTTCAGTATTTTAAGAAGAAAATCGGCGTTGAAAAAAAAAGGAAAAAAAATGAAAATAAATGAGAATGTTGTTTTTATAACTGGTAAGAAAACAAAAATATTTTTGGGTTACTTAAATGTAGTACCAACATAACTATATGAAGAAGTTATGACAGTGGCATGAACTAACATTACCATTTATGTCACTATTCATACAGGTTGAAGGCGAGATAGCCACGTTGAGGCAAGTTTTAGGTTCCAAAATTCGCTACTCTGCGGAGCTAAAGAGAAAGCTGGGTATCACACCCCTACAAGAGATGAAGAATGACTTCCAATTGGGAATTAAAACAATAAAAGATTCTACGCCGTAAGTAACATCAATCAAAATTGAAATATGTGTATGGAAGTTTTATTTGAAATATTAATGGTACCCCCAAAGCAGCATGGTTGAGGTTCCTGGCTGATAACTTGCCCATCATCTGAGCTGATGTGAATCATGCTAGAGAGTATAGAATTTTTTACCATAAACTAGCAGTTTCATCTAGATATCTGTATGTGGGTGGCCCTACCTATGTTACATCTTAGGGCTTAGATATTACAAGGGAGAATTCTTTCACCTGTATAGCTGAAGAGTTGTCACATGACTTTGATGAATGAGCTCTCTTTGCGTGGTTGTTTTCAAATGCTTTAAAGAGAGATTGGTGAGACAATTATATAAATCGCCATAATGACACTCGATTGTTTGACAGATATAGAAATGATGTTACTGACCGAAAATTGCAGAAAACTTGCTCATAATATATATTCCATAACATGTGCATTAACACAGAAGAACATTGATTGCCTCAATTTTAACATAGTTGAGATTGGTTTACATACACCAGGGTTTGTACAGTATTCAACTATTGATAAGTGCTTAAATTTGAGTTCCTTTCTTCAAAATTGTGTGAAGAAGGCCTTGAATGTCTCAGAGTCTGTATAAAACCTGTACAATAACAATAAAATTATATGCACTGATCTTTTTACTACAGAGTGCTTTCCAAGAAGCAATTAAATTACATTAGTAGTGAGAAAAATCAAACTTTGTTTGTACCCATTTAATTTTTGTACAATTGAAAATCATCCCCCATTCCTACATGTGCTGTGATTTTGGAAACAGTCTTGTCTCATACCAGTTCCATTGGCTGACATAAGAATGTATAGATATTTGTCTCTTGCACAGATATTAAGATACAAACAATTAGGCATAATTATAGTGTTTAAGCAGGTCACACAATCATATTATTCTTCCTGGGCAGATAACCTATGATACTGTACCGTTCTGTTTAAAGTAGGAAGGTTAGGGTGTTAATATAATTTTTAGATAAACTGTGTCATTTTACAAGACTTTGTATTGTAATACTTTTTAGCTCGACTATACGAAGTATATGGAGAGCTGTCCTACTCGCCCCGGCGTCGGCGTCCGCGTCCAGATTTTAGATTAAAGTTTTGGTGCAGTAAAATATTTTTCACTATAACTTTGTCATTTCTTAAGGTATCAACTTCAAACTTCAAATATATGTTCCTTATCATCAACCACATCTTATGTGACAAAGTTCATAACTCTAGCACCAATATTTTCAGATTTATCTCCCTTGAACTTAGAATTTTTCTTAAAAAAATACTATTTTTTTACTGTTACTTCTTTATTTCTTAAGGGATCAACCTCATACTTCAAATATATGTACCTTATCATCATCCCCATCTTATGTGACAAGGTTCATAACTCTAGCACCAATATTTTCAGATTTATCTCCCTTTGAACTTAGAATTTTCCTAAAAAGTACTATTTCTTACTGTTTCTTCTTTATTTCTTAAGGGATCAACCTCATACTTCAAATATATTTACGTTTTCATCATCCCCATCTTATGTGACAAGGTCCATAACTCTAGCACCAATATTGCAAGAATTATCTCCCAATAAACTTAGATTTTTTTTACTAGAAAAATGTTATTTTTATTATAACTTTTTTATTTTTAAAGGTATCTACCTCAAACTTCAAATACTTAATCCTTATCATCAATTACATTTTATTGTGACAATGTTTCATAACTCTTGAAGCAATATTTACACATTTATCTCTCTTTGAACTTAGGATTTTCTTTAAGAAATATAATAACTTCTTTTTTAAGGTATCTACTTCAAACTTCAAATATATATTACTTATTATTACACAAATGTTGTGTGACAAGGTCCATAACTCTAGCATGACTATTTCTAGAATTATTCCCCTTGATCTTTGGAATTAATGTTAACAAATATTATTTTTTTACTATAACTTAATACATAATTATACATAATTGATTTTTATACGTTTGAAAAAACGGGACGTATTATGGGAACGCCCCTGGCGGGCGGGCGGGCGGGCGGGCGGCGTCCAATTTTGTCCGGAGCATATCTCCTACATGTATGGAGGGATTTTAATGAAACTTCATATAAATGTTCACCACTATGAGGAGCAGTGTCGCGCACATGAACCAGGTCTCTAGGTCAAAGGTCAAGGTCACACTTAGAGCTCATTGAAAAATGCTTGTCCGGAGCAAAACTTCCACATGTATAGAGGGATTTCAATATAACTTGGCACAAATGTTCACCATTGTGAGGCGGAGTGTCGCGTGCAAGATTCAGGTCCTTGCGGCCAAGGTCAAGGTCACACATAGAGGTCAAAGTTCAGATAAAAATATGAAGATGTGTATATGGACCATTTAGTCATCATTTATTGAGGGATTGTAACACAAATGGTCATTATCAAAGACTATGGCTGTGATACATATAATTTAGGTCAATATATACAAGGTCAAGGTCACTAAAGATGATGAAATATCCAGATTTTTGTAAATAGAATTTAATCAAAGGGAGACAACAAAGTTATTACTTTGTTCATAAATGACTTACACAATTACTCCCCTTGATCTATTTTCACTTTCAATTCTCAAAAAATAGAATTTAATCAAAGGGCATGAAATAATCCTCTTTCTTGGACTTGAGTATGTTCTAAAGAATGTAACATTTATTTACACATGTTTCATTCATTGGTCAAGATTCTTAACTGTGATAACTATGGTGTTCTGTAGACTTTGTATTTGTTCATAAAGATCATACAGTAATTACCTTATCAAATGTAAATACTTTCTCATAGAAATTTAATTATATTTTAATTTTCAAGTAAATATCAGTTCAGCTCATTCAAAGATTAAGAATTGTAATGAAATGTATTTCCCTAGAATAAAATCTTAAATCAGAATTTTTTAGTTATTAAATTACATGTACTTTTTATACGCCCGTTTAAAAAAAAGATAAAAATATGAAGATGTGTATAGGGACGATTTAATCATCATTTATTGAGGGATTGTAACACAAATGGTCATTATAATGACTACGGATGTGACACATGTACTTTAGGTCAATATATGCAAGGTCAAGGTCACTAAAGATGGTGAAATATCCAGATTTTGTCTGGAGCATATCTCCTACATGTATGGAAGAATTTTTATAATACTTTATGGAAATGTTCACCACCATGATATGTATTGCTCCATGCATGGATCCAGGTCTCCAGGTCAAAGGTCAAGGTCACACTTAGAGCTCATTGAAAAACGCTTGTCCGGAGCAAAACTTCTACATTCATAGGGGGTTTTCAATATAACTTGGCACAAATGTTCACCATTGTGAGGCTGAGTGTCGCATGCAAAATTCAGATCCCTGCGACCAAAGTCAAGGTTACACATAGAGGTCAAAGTTCAGATAAAAATTTGAAGATGGTTATAGGGACCATTTAGTCATCATTTATTGATGGATTGTAGCACAAATGGTAACTATCATGACTACAGGTGTTACACATTTAATTTAGGTTAATATTTGCAAGGTCAAGGTCACTGGAGATGATTAAATATCCAGATGTTGTCCGGAGCATATTTTCTACATGCATGGAGGAATTTTAATGTTACTTTTATAGAAATTGTTTCACCACCATGAGACGTAGTGCCCTGCACATAAACCAAGTCTCTAGGTCAAAGGTGAAGGTCACAGTTAGAGCTCATAGAAAAAAACACTTGTCTGGAGCAAAACTTCTACATGCATAGAGGGATTTCAATATAATTTGGCACAAATGTTCATTATTGTGAGGCTGAGTGCCGTGCATAAAATTTTCAGGTCCCTGCGACCAAGGTCAAGGTCACACATTCTGTGCATATCTTCCCTATTGATTTGTTTTAAGGTTCATTTAACAACACAGTGCCAAGAAATAAAAACTTGCTTGCTAGATAACACTTATCCATAATGCCCCCATCTCCATCTAAAGCTTTTTCGTAAACGGGCGTATTTTGTGACTATGGCACCCTTGTTCTTTCATAGTTTTGTCCTCCTTACTGCGTCCAGTATTTTATTAGTCGAGCTTCGCTGTCTCCTGTGACAGCTCTTGTTAGTCCCCTACCGGTTTACCGGAGGGGACTTTAGGTTTACCCTCCGTCCGTCCGTCCGTCAGTCCGTCCGTCCACAAAAACTGGATCCCGCGATAAAGCAAAAAGTACTGAAAATATTTTAATGAAACTTGATATATGGATAGATGGCAGTAGGAGATTATGCATGTCCTTTTCTTTTCTTCCTGTGTTGAAAATTCTGGTTGCTATGGCAACAAATAGACTGAAAATATGGCAAATTTTACACACAACTGGATCCCGCAATAACGCAAAAAGTACTGAAAATATTTTTATGAAACTTGATATATGGATAGATGGCAGTATGGAGATTATGCACGTCTTTGTTCTTTTCTTCCTATGTTGAAAATTCTGGTTGCTATGGCAACAAATAGACTGAAAATATGGCAAATTTTACACATAACCTGGATCCAGTGATAACACAAAAAGTACTGAAAATATGTTTATGAAACTTGACATATGGGTATATGGCAGTATGGAAATTATGCACATCCTTTTCTTATCTTCCTATGTTGAAAATTCTGGTTGCTATGGCAACAAATAGACTGAATTTCAAGATTTATGATCCTAGTTTTTAAGTCTTTTTTCACTATAAGTTCTTTATTTCTTAAGGTATTTTCTTCAAACTTTAAATATAAGTTGCTTGTCATCAACCACATCATATGTGACAAGGTTTACAACTCTAGCACAAAATTTATCAGAATTACCTCCCTTGAACTTAAAATTTTCATGAAAAAACATTGTTTATTTAACTTCTTTTTCTGAATATATCTACTTCAAACTTCATATAAATGTTTCTTATTATCACTCAACATTTGTGAGTGTTCAATACTCTAACAAGACTATTTACAGTCTATAGACAGAATTATGCCCGTTTTGAACTTAGATTTTTTTTTTGAGAAATTTGTGTTTTTACTCAAACTTCTTCAATCATGATAGGATTTTAAAAATGTTATATTTTGATAACAGGGATGTTTAAAAAATATCTTAAGAGTGTCCTTCAGTCCGTCTGTCTGTACATAAAAACTGTTTCCTGTGATCACTTTTAAAGAACTTTTTCAACAAATTTACTTAAAATAGGAACATAAGTGAATGGCCAATGGCCCTTCAGAATTTTGCTTGGGCTCTTACCGGTAGGGGATTTATGGATTGCTTGCAATACTATGATAATTGCTTGTTTTAGAGTGTCCTCAGTCCGTCTGTCTGTCTGTTCATAAAAACTGTTTCCTGTGATCGCTTTTAAAGAACTTTCCAACAAATTTACTTAAAATAGAGAAAAATTGAAACATTAGTGAATGACCAATGGCCCTTCAGAATGTTGATGGGGTTCTAACCGGTAGGGGACTTATGGATTGCTTGCAATACTATGATAATTGCTTGTTTTTATTATTATTATTTCAAGAGACATTATTTGATATGATAGATAATTTGCTTTAATTTGTTTGTTCTGTGTATCTTTGTTTTTTGCAATTCTATTTTATTTCATCAGGATAGTAGCAATCATCATCAAAGTCTGTTTAGTCAGGCCAGCCTTAAGTTCCCTGACCTGGGCTGCGTTTCATGGAGAGTCCTAAGTCTTAAGTTTGTCTTAAGTTAAAAATTGTGACAATTTTGCGTTTCAAAGAAAGTCTTAAAAAAGGTCCTAACTTATGACTCCTAAATTTATGACCAAAAACAGTCCTAAGTCTAGGAGTGTTTAAAAGGTATCTTAAGATTGTCCTAAGTCAAAACCACTCCAAAATCAAACAACTTTTTGTTGAATTTTGTTTTGAAAACTATCTAGAATGATAGATAATGGTCTAACTAAGAAAATAAATCCGAACACCAATATCTTTAATTCAGTCATTAACGCTGTACAGACGTTTAAAGGTTTGTTTTACATGACGTCACAATGTAGCGCCAAATATCACGTGCAAAACAAGACGCGTCTATAAAATAATAATATTACTGCGCGCTGTACAATTGCAGTTGCGTAGCAAGCAAAGGGGTTGGTAACTATTTTTTTTTACTATAAAATTAAAATAAAATGGTTACTTTATCGTTTTTCGTGAAATATGGTATATATTTTCACTCAACATGATAAGAAGGCAATACATTACTTTTTAGCTCGACTTTTCTATGAAAAGGGGAGCTATCCTACTCGCCCCGGCGTCGGCGTCGGCGTTGGCGTCACACCTTGGTTAAGTTTTTCGTACCACCCCACTTTATTTCAGAAGTATTACAAGTATGGCTTTTGAAACTTACCATACTTGTTCACCATCATAACCTCCATCTACAGACAAGAGTACATAACTCTGTCAAGGTTTTTGACAGAATTATGGCCCTTTTTTGACTTAGAAAGTGTATTGAGCTTGGTTAAGTTTTTTGTACCACCTCACTTTATTTCAAAACCATTGGAGGTATTGCTTTGAAACTGACCATACTTGTTTACCATCACGACCTTCATCAACAGACAAGAGGACATAACTCTGTCAAGGTTTTTGACAGAATTATGCCCCTTTTTGACTTAGAAAATACATTGAATATGGGTAAAAATCCACTTATTGCCTTAACCCTTTGAGATATTGCTTTGAAACTTTTAATGCTATTTCACATCATTACCCCCATCTGTACGCAAGAGAAGGTAACTCTGTCAAGGATTTGTTTTAAAAATTAAGGCCTTTTATCGACTTAGAATCTTGGTTAAGTTTTTAGTACCAGTCCACTTTTTGACTGAACTGTTTGAGATATTAATTTGAAAGTTGGAATACTTGTTTACAATCATGATTCCCAAACATGTCCAGGAGAAGGTAATTCTGTCAAAGATTTTATTTGAATTATGGCCCTTAACTGTCAATGTTTTGTATTATAGGCAAGCACTAAAAAACTTAAAAAATCTAAAAAAATTCATTCCTATCCACTTGTTCACTTTACCATAAATTATGTCATAATAAAATAATTCTTCACTAAATATCTTAATGCTCATGGCCATTGTTCACTTTAAAAATACAGAGATTCTTGTATTGCCTTTTACTGCAAAAACTTTTTTTATTGGCAAGCAATAAAAAAGTCGAGCGCGCTGTCTTACGGACAGCTCTTGTTGTACTTGCTATAACAAATTACATAGTAAATCCAATCCGGGATTATGCGCGTGCCATTGTATTTTGTAACTTTTTTCAGGAGAGCGAATTGGTCATAAGTCTTAAGTTTAAGACAAAAGATAGGACAGTTACTTGAAACGGTCCTAAGTGCAAAAACTTTTTCTCCTAAAGTTGGTCATAAGTCCTAGGATTTAGGATTAACTTAGGACTCTCCATGAAACGCAGGCCAGGCTCTCTTCACTGTTTAACCTGCCTCATATTGTTCATATTTTAATATTTCTATCTTATCATTAAATATGCCAAATTTTAAGCATAACAAATTTATTCATTCAGCAGGATAAGGGTTAAGATTTAAAGTAAAAAGGTATTGCATACTGGTATCTGTTAATCTGCTAATGAACTACTCCATATTCAAAGCATGGCAAGTTCATTGCACAATTTCAGCAGAATAAAGGGTAAAAATCACAATCCATCCGACATGTTTATTTTGTCATCATTTTATCATTGAATGTTTTATATTCTTATCATTTCATTGTTCAATATATTTTTTTTTTTTTTTCGAATATTTTTGTGAGTATTTATTTTTGCACCGACAGATACCAAAAGACAAATGAAAAGCTTCATGATCTTAACGAGAAGTTACATCAATCCCCAGCGTAAGTTGCACCATGTAGCATGCTGTAGCAGGAATCTATGTGTGTAGTTTTTCTGTTTGTGTCTATTTTATTGTATTAAAGATCTCCTTCCCTGATACCTAGACAGGGCACTTGTTTTTGGCCTTTTCAGTACTAATATCCTATGAGTACATATATGTAATATAATATGTAAAGTTGAACTTTATTTGGTCCATACTGGAAATACCAAATTGCGGACATACAAGGGATATACCACATGGTGAACATACCACATGCCACATGGAAATGGTAACACATGGAAGTAAATGCACTATAAACTGTTCTCTCTCTCTTCATTTTCACAAATGAGCAGTAATCCTTAAACTCTTACCATGCTAAATATCTTAAATGGTGTTACCCAACTTTCAATCTTCACAAAACCATTCATTATTACTTTTAAAAAAATTTCAAAATAAATACATGTACTGACTAAATAGTGAACGAAAAGTGTAGACCATGATCAGATTGCAGATTTGTTGCATTTTCTTGGTCTGGACCGGCTGCATAGAATCAATTACCACAAGCAAGCTTATGGTTAATTTTGGACCTAATTAAGTGGAGACAAATTTTATGTTTTGATATATGATTTTTTTTTGCAAGGGTATAGTTATTTAGCCCAAAAGTGGGACAAGAATGTTCAAAAATTCTTCTCAAAATAGACTTTAAGATTTTAATTTTTGACGAAAAAAAGGAAGGCCTTGTGTAATATATTATAGAATTGTCTGTAATTATTTTTAAATGATATTGATCCTTTCGTATAGATTTGAATTTTAGGCATGTTTAAAATAATAATCTTAATAAGTGCCATGCAAGAAAGTTGTCTTGTTTACAAGTGTTGCCCCACATTTGTATTCACCAGCGATGTAACAAGATATGCACTTACTTACAACAAGATATATATATACAGTTTCTATACATGGCTAACTACATATTATTTTCAACATATATATATATATTGTGTATTGAACAAGCCAAATACAATATACTCATCACTGTAAGTGTCGATCTTTCCAGTGACATTGTATTAATTTTTCTATGTAAGGAAATTACATACATTGATGGAAATTTGATGGTGCTACTAGTACTAAAAAGCAATGATCATAAAAAATACATTTTTCTGAAGTAACACTCAAGAGGGATTCCTAATTTTCCTTGAATCCATAAGTTTTTTTTTCTTAAAAACCAACTTCAGAACAAGGACAGCAATATATATTATTATTATATTGTAATAAATATATTTGCAATCCAAAGTTCAATGTTAAATTAACAATACTAGATACATGTATGTTTGTTCATGACTAATGCAAATATGATGCTTTCCTCTTTGAGAAAACATGGAATGTCACTATATGACTTTAACCCTTGTCAGTGTAATTTTAAACCCAAGGGAAAAAATGAAAATCAATTTAAAAAAAAAATGAATAAAAAGAATTAGAAATTATTATAGAGGAAACATCTCACTACATTGCCAGACTGAATGTGTAGTATATAACTTGTACTCAGGATTTTATGTTTGCCGTTGTAATCACATAGAAAATCATATTCCATTCTGGTTCTCTAACCTGGAGTTACAATTTAAATGATTTCCTATTCCTTTATCTGTACGATCACTTAACTCAGTAGGTTTGTAATCTAGAGATGGCTTTGATCCAGTTGAGGCGCAAATTCACTGTGACAATTAATCTCTGATAACACTGATTTGTTTTCATTTGTAACATTGTGCTGTGAAGTTATTCTTTATCCTACATGAACATTCTATCTTTCGTATATGTAGTTATTATATAATACACTAATCACATGACTAACTTCTTGATAATATGATAGCCATCAGTCATTTATTTTCTGTTACTGTTTGCATTTTGGGCAATATTTTGTTTAAATTTTCTTGGACCTTGTTTATTTCTTAACCCTTACCCTGCTGATTTTTTATGCCCCCACAATGTGGGAGCATATAGCATTGCACTTGTCCGTCCGTCAGTCCGTCCGTACGTCCCGAAATCTTGTGAACGCAACTCCTCTTAAACCAGACGGCAGATTTTGCTTAAACTTACAGGGATGAACAACCTTAATGTGTAGATGGTGGTAAAGGAAGGAATTTTCGCTGCGGCCAAATTTAACAGAATTATGGCCCTTTGTTGATTTTTTCACTAGATACTATGTAGAAATTTTGTGAACGCAACTCCTCTTAAACCGGATGGCAGATTTTGCTTAAACTTACAGGGATAAACAACCTTAATGTGTAGATGGCAGTAGAGGAAGGAAGTTTGCTGCAACCAAATTTAACAGAATTTTGGCCCTTTGTTGATTTTTTCACTATATACTATGTAGAAATTTTGTGAACGCAACTCCTCTTAAACCGGATGGCAGATTTTGTTTAAACTTCCAGGGATTAACAACCTTAATGTGTAGATAGTAGTAAAGGAAGGAATTTTTGCTGCGACCAAATTTAAGAGAATTATGGCCCTTTCTTGATTTTTAGTTTTCAACTTGTGGCACATGTAGTCCAAAAAATATTTGACCTAGAGTCATAAGATTGACAAAACAGTGGCGTGTGGGGGCATCCGTGTCCTATGGACACATTTCTAGTTTGTAATGGACTTGACCTTTTCTGATTTAAGAACTATCCATTGTTAATTTAAGGGATAATTTCTAAAAACACAAATTTTAAGCATTGATTAGTTTAGAATCTGGTCAGGTTTTATGTAAGTGTTAATTGACATTACTCTATTATTGACTGTCATTATTGCTGCTACTTATACTTTTTGGGTATGAGATTACAGCATTTTGGTAGTGAAATACACCAGACAAACAATGGACTGTTCCAAATGCAAAGCTGGATAGATCCATTATATAAATAAAGTACATGTACAATGTATGACGAAAGTTGTGTTTAAAGTAGGTTCAATATAGATTTCTTTTATAGATGATGACAATAATGATGATTCAGCATATGATGGTGATTAAGTATTAGTGAAATAAACATTCTACATTAGCATCATGCTCCATGATATTGTTCTGCTGAGCAAGCAGTTTGCTGATTCACAATCTGATCTGCCTTCTCAAAACTATCCTGTCTCCCTACTTCATATTATATTTTGTTAAAGCACCATCCATTTATTGACTGATTTCCTTGAAATTGATGCATTATTTACCTTCAGATGGCCTTTACAGTTGAGTGGCAGTTTCAGGTCTATTATTTCATAGTAAAAAAAACAAGAAAGGGGATTCTGATCTTTCACCAGCAATGAAAATCAAAAAGAAATATATAAAAGTCATGAACCCAGTTATATTGAGCCTGTTTATGTGAGATAAAGAAAGAGCAAAATCTTGCATGCCCCTCCTGGCACTGTTCTATGCACTGTTCAATGTACATTTACAAAAATAAAATACAAAAGTATTTGAGACAATGATTCTGAAGGACACGAAAAATAATACAAGGTCATTGGGGCTAAAAATAGATTTTTCCTCATAATAAGGCAATGTTTAAGCTGGGTCAAGGCTACTTCATTGTGCATCTGTATGTGTTATAGAAGTTGAATTTTTTTTTTCTATTTCCAGATATCAGAAGACATCCGCAGCGGCTAAATCAGCAGCTGAGAAGACGTCTACAGTGGTGGCGGGTATTGGCTCGACTGTGTCTAGAAAATTAGGTGATTTAAGGTAAGGCGGCATGAACAAATCATCTGTATCAGTGTCTCCAATCAAGCATAAAATAATAGGTGCTCAAACCAAACAAACTTAATTTGAGCCACGCCATGAAAAAACCAACATAATGGGTTTGCGACCAGCATGGATCCAGACCAGCCTGCGCATCCGCGCAGTCTGATCAGGATCCATGCTGTTTGCTGTCAGTTTCTGTACTTGTTATAGGGTTTGTAAGCGAACAGCATGGATCCTGATCAGACTGCGCGGACGCGCAGGCTGGTCTGGATCCATGTTTGTCGCAAACCCATTATGTTGGTTATGTCGTGACACGGCTCATTTTATGGCATTAAATTACATGTATGACAAAATTTGCTTATATAATAAAGTTTTTAGCTTTTAAGTCTGTTAAAAATTAAACAGTAATAGTAGAGTACACACGCACAAACATACATATAAAGAATCGCCTTCACTAGGTTACAATCATCGTGGGAATTATCATTTAAAAATCCTCTCAAGGCTTGTAACATGTATTCATTATCTTCAATTTTACAGAAACTCTCAAACTTTCAAGTCTGTTGAAGGGAAGATGGAATCTGCCTACGCACAAGTCAAGGTATGTGATAGTGATAGAAATATTTAATTTGCAAAAACAGCAATGACCAGAAATGACCATTTCAGTCTTCTTTTTTTTTCATTTTTTTTTTCACAATGGTTACTGACCAGCATATAGTGAACATCACTCCCTCAGGTCTGATAAAGGCATGGGAATTCAGAAGAAATTTTATCCATGTACTGCCAAGTCATGTATTGGTTGTGTCCAAATCTCAATACTTGGAAGGACCTTTACTAAAGTGTGTAAATCCAAGAGTCCCAACTGTCCCCCAGTGGTGGAATAAACTAATGTAGTACACATTTTGACTAGAAGTTAACAGGAATCGTGCAGTGTGACGAAGTTCTATACTTCTGGCAGCTAAATATTAATAGATATATATATTGATATCTTAAAAGTAACAATGAAAAAATCCAAATTTGAAGTGAGACAAGTCCATTGCTTAAGTCCAGTAAGGTAGAGCTATAAGTCGAGGGTATAGAAATAAGATATCAAATATCAAATCTATGTGATTTTTTTTTTGTTCTAAGTGACTTTTTTTGTAGTTGTTTACTTTATAACCTTAGCATTAACCTATATTATAACCATTTGAGAGCCCTAGATTTTTTTATGATTTGCCTAATTCTTGTGGCTTATTATTATATATAATTGTATGTATACTGGATTGAAAGTTAACAAATATGTTTGTTTGTGTAGTCGTCACGTTCTATAGAGGGGCTGAAAGATCGCTTGGTGAGTTAGGTATTGTTCTGTAGCATGTTATTGTACACACATAATGCAATGCACTTGGTTCATTATTTGATTAACTCTATAGATACTTGTGATTTTTGAGTTTCCCATCCCCAGGGGTGTCATTTAAATTTTACTGAGACAGTGTCTATTTTGAATTTGAGGTGGACATCTACAAAAGAGTGTTTTCTAAGTTTTGAGGAGGACCAAAATGCATTTGAGACGGTCATTTTTGCCACCAGTGACCTCTTTATAACAAACCTGTATTCCACCAGTATGAAGTCAAACCAGCTTGTACGTCAATCTCTGCAGTTTAATTAGACTCTTTATTGTTGGATGCTCAAATTTCCCCTTTTCATATGAAAACCCTGTTAAAATAACAATTGACAGATCTGAGTCTAATTGGGACATGTTCAATATTTACAAATTTAGTGGAGAAAATAGTTTGTCATAAATTACAATAAAGTCTCTTCAGAGCAAAACTCATGATTGTTAAAAAAAAAAATTAAAAATCAAATCTTAAAAGGTTTTTATCAATTAGCCATCCTGTGGTACAAAATGTTCAAAACCATTCCTCTATTTGATAAAGCATTTTCCTGGACAGAATTTTATGTATAAAAGCTGTTGAAATTGTTGAGTAGAGTACCTGTATTATAAATGCGCCATCTAATGGGCAAAAAACTACCATTGTTTTCTTGGCTGTGAACATTTGCAGTCCAGCACCATGACTATGACTGAACATCTAATGGAAGAAAACAACAATATTTTATTCAGGAAACACTTTTATATAGCACCATTATAATTTATTTGTTGTATTATGTTACAGTATATTTGTTTTTATATTATTTTGTTAGATCATTTATTTACAGAGTTACAGCAAACTATAAAAGTTTTTTACTCATCCTGACTTTTTAGGATAGACAGAATTTTTAGCATGACTATTCGATAAGAATAAGTAGAGTTATTGTAGTCACCCGAGCGTCGGCGTAACCACTTATGTTAAAGTTTTTGTAATACCTCAAATATTTATAAAGTCCATTGACATTTGCACACTTGTTCACAATCATGACCCCAATCTGTAGACAGGAGGAGATAACTGTATCAAGCATTTTGACAGAATTATGCCCCTTTTTCGACTTAGAATTTACATTAAAGTTTGCATACCACCTCAGATATTTTCATATACTATTGACATCTGGCTTTGAAACAAGTTGAAATTTTATACTCTTCTTTTAGAGCATAATAGGACTCTCTTCAAGGCCTATAACAGTAACATGGATTTAAAGGAAAATTTGGCCCTTTTGTTAACTTAGAAAATTTTACATTATCAAGGCTCTTTTACTGTCAAGCACTAAGAATAGTCGAGCGTTACTGTCCTACCGACAGCTCTTGTTCTGGCACCTGATGGAGCCTCCAAATTTTATTGCCCATAGAACATATGATCTTGGAAAAACGCATCAAAATTTGCCAGTAGTATACTTCTATGATTCCATCCTAGTTTTGTTATGATTGCCAAAGCTAAAAATAGCATATATCTTCTGTTCAGTTTGGGTCCAGACCAATAGGCCATCCAAGTTAAGATTATTTGACTTTTTACTAGGTTTTCAGACAGAAAAAGCTGGTTACTCGATTTTTGTTTTGTATGTCAGTAGGTGAGTGGCTTGGTGTTAACAATTTTATCTGTAAGCAACTCCTTATACATTTCTCAAGGGATTTTAACCAAAATTTCTCAGAACTATTATTGTCAATAGAATTATGGCCCCTTGTTTTTAGCTCACCTGTCACAAAGTGACAGGGTGAGCTTTTGTGATGGCTTTTTGTCCGGCGTCCTTCCGTCCATTCCTGTTGTCCGTCCGTAAACTTTTACTTTAAATGACATCTCCTCATAAACCACTAAGCCAATTTCATCCAAACTTCACAGGAATGTTCCTTTGGTGGTCACCTTTAAAAATTGTTCAAAGAATTTAATTCCATGCAGAACTCTGGTTGCCATGGCAACCGAAAGAAAAAACTTAAAATATCTTCTCTTAAAAAACCCCAAGAGCTAGAGCTAAGATATTTAGCATGAAACATGTTCTAATTGGTATCTACCAAGTTTGTTCAAATAAAAGCCCTGGGGTCAAAATTGGCCCGCCCAGGGGGTCATTGATTTTCCTTCTATCTATATAGCAAAAACTTAAAAAATCTTCTTTGAAAAAACCCAAATAGCTGGAGTTTAGATATTAAGCATGAAACATCTTCTAGTGAGTGTCTACAAAGTTTGTTCAAATAAAAGCCCTGGGGTCAAAATTGGCCCCGCCCCGGGTGTTATTGATTTTCCTTATATTTGTATAGCAAAAACTTAAAAATCTTCTTTAAAAAAACCCAAATAGCTAGAGTTTAGATATTAAGCATGAAACATCTTCTAGTAATTGTCTACAAAGTTTGTTCAGTCAAAATTGGCCCCGCCCCAGGGGTGTCATTGGTTTTAACTATATGTGTATAGTAATAACTTATAAAATCTTTTAAAAAAACCCAATGAGCTAGAGCTTAGATGTTTAGCATGAAACATCTTCTTATGGGTGTCTACCAAGTTTGTTCAAATAAAAGAACTTGGGTTAAAATTGGCCCTGCCAAGGGGGATGGGGGCGGAGGAGGGGGGTAGATTGTTGTTTTTCATTATATGTGTGTAGTAAAAACTTAACATCGTGAAACATCTTCTAATGGGTGTCTTCCAAGTTTGTTTAAATAAAAGCCCTGGGGTTTAAACTGGCCCCGCTCCGGGTGCCTTTATACAGGTGAGCGACCTCAGGGCCATCATGGCCCTCTTGTTGTTAAGTATGTTACTTTGGTAGGAAACCTGGTTGTAAATATATCCTGTCACTTTTTCTACTTATATTAGCAGATATTGTTCATTTAGTTTTACTAACTGGTATTTCTTGAGTATATTTGCATGTGTTTATCTATTAAAAAAAATTCAAACATTTTTTTTTTGTTACTTAACTCTGTTTAATAAAATGATAATGAGTTGTTATTTATAAAGTTGTTTCCTGTCCAGATGTGGTTTTAATGTGAGCTTTTTTGTTGATTATAACTCATTTTGCTTCATGTGATATATTTTGATATGTTTGTTCAGAAAATGATAATTTGAGGGCTTGTTACCATATGAGTTAAACTGTCTTACACCTAGCATTCAAATATAGCATTATATTTTAACATTCTGAAAGTTTGTTATAAACGATTATTAGAACTAGTACATGTACATGAAAAAGTTAAAATTGTGATTTTAGTGGGAATTCATTTATGTTTGGTCTGATATTTCCACTGGTTTTATTCCTCTGAAGATAGTGACAACAAAGTCAGACCTCTTGCAAACATTCCAGTATCTGTGGTAGAATAATTAAGGCCACTGACATTGAATGAATTACCCTTTACCACTGTGGGTTAATATTAAAATACGAGTGATTTTGGATTCATTTGTGTAAAGAAATTGTTGTGTTTACTTTTAAACCTTACCCTACTAAGTATTTTGTATGGATATGTCAATGTGGATAAGACTTTTCATAACTTTTAGAAAAAAATTTTGAAATAAGAACAAACTAAATAATGCTAACAGTTTAGAACTGTACTTAAATTAGAAGCATATTCTTTTTGTTCCTAAACATTTTTTAGCTCGACTTTTTTTTTTTTGAAAAAAAAAGTAGAGGTATTGTTATAGTCAGGTCGGCGTTGCCGTTGCCGTTGCCGTTGCCATTGCCGTTGCCGTTGCCGTCCGAAAACTTGTACCTGGATCATAACTTTTTTATTTCTTGGTGTATTGTCTTCATACTTGGCCACAACAACCCTTGGGACAAGACCTTTCAGTAGACCACACTAACCTTGACCTTCATCCATAAATGACCTTGACCTTCAAGGTTAAAAGTCCAATTTTTGCCTGTTTATGCTGTTATTGGCTGTAACTTTGTTATTTTTGAATGGATTGTCTTCAAACTTGAACATAATAATCTTCAAGGATATCCCTTAAAAATAACCAGTCAGACCTTGACATTCAACTCATCAATGACCTTGACTTTGAAGGTCAAAATTATTGAAAATTTTCATTTTTTTGGCTATTATTGGCTGTAACTTTGTTATTTTTGAATGGATTGTCTTCAAACTTGAACATAATAATCTTCAAAGATAACTGTTAAAAATATACCGAAAGACCTTGACCTTCACTCATTAATGACATTGTCTTTGAAGGTCAAATTATTGAAATTTTCATTGTTTTGGCGGTAACTGACTGTAACTTTGCTATTTTTGAAGGGATAAACTTCATATTATAACAGAACCAGACCTTGTTGTTTATCAAACCCAAATTTGCTTGGGCTCTTTAATGACCTTGACCTTGAAGGTTATATTACTGAATTTTCTCAGATTGTGCATTTATTGGTGTGTGTGTATGTATAGTATATGTATTATATATATATATATAAATGTGTGTGTGTATATATATATATATATATATATATATATATATATATATCAAATAGATATATATGCATACATATTATATATATATATATATATACATATATATATATATATATGCATGTATATATATATATACACACACACAGATATATATATATATATATATATATATATATATATATATATATATATAAATTGCGTCATTTTTTCTATTTTTAGAAATTGCATCATTTTTTTCTATTTTTAGAAATTGCGTCATTTTTTTCTATTTTTAGAAATTGCGTCATTGTTGCTATTTTTAGAAATAGCTTCATTTTTTTTCTATTTTTAGAAATTGCGTCATTGTTGCTATTTTTAGAAATTGCGTCATTTTTTCTATTTTTAGAAATTGCGTCATTTTTTTTTCTATTTTTAGAAATTGCGTCATTGTTGCTATTTTTAGAATTTGCTGCTATTTTTAGAAATTGCGTCATTGTTGCTATTTTTAGAAATTGCGTCATTTTTTCTATTTTTAGAAATTGCGTCATTTTTTTATTTTTAGAAATTGCGTCATTTTTTTTCTATTTTTAGAAATTGCGTCATTTTTTCTATTTTTAGAAATTGCGTCATTTTTTTATTTTTAGAATTTGTTGCTATTTTTAGAAATTGCGTCATTTTTTCTATTTTTAGAAATTGCGTCATTGTTGCTATTTTTAGAAATTGTGTCATTTTTTCTATTTTTAGAAATTGCGTCATTGTTGCTATTTTTAGAAATTGCGTCATTTTTTCTATTTTTAGAAATTGCGTCATTGTTGCTATTTTTAGAAATTGCGTCATTTTTTCTATTTTTAGAAATTGTGTCATTTTTTTCTATTTTTAGTAATATGTCTTTGTTGCTATTTTTAGAATTTGTTGCTATTTTTAGAAATTGCGTCATTTTTTTCTATTTTTAGAAATTGCGTCATTGTTGCTATTTATAGAAATTGCGTCATTGTTGCTATTTTAAGAAATTGCGTCTTTTTTCTATTTTTAGAAATTGCGTCAATTTTTCTATTTTTAGAAATTGCATCATTGTTGCTATTTTTAGAAATTGTGTCACTTTTTTATTTTCAGAAATTATGTCATTTTTTTATTTTTAGAAATTATGTCATTTTTTTGTATTTTTAGAAATTGCGTCATTTTTTCTATTTTTAGAAATTGCGTCATGTTGCTATTTTAAGAAATTGCGTACTGTTGCTATTTTTAGAAATATGCTTAATATTTCTATTCATATATATACAAAATATATAAAGAAAACTAATGTGAAAAGACAGACCAACTAAATTTATAAAAAGGAAACGTTAATATATGTTCAAACCTTTCTATGTTTGCGTTTAGAAAAAGTAAAAAGTCGAGCGTTGCCCCCGCCCGGCGGTGGCTCTTGTTTTATTTTGTTAAGGTACAATATTTGTGTGTGTAACATAAGAAAGACATTCTATAACTCATTAAATAATCAACATTATGATTATGGAAACAGAAATAATTTTTCCTGGTTATAAATTTTATATAAATATCTCCTCAGATATAGCTTTATACCCTTTAACAGTCTCAAAAATCAAAGCAAAGGACAAGTCTACAATAAAAATTTGGTGGTGTTCAACATTTACATGACTGAAATATTTTTATTTTTCAGGCTAAAGTATCTGGTAGTAAGTCGGAAGGAAACTTCGAAGAAGCTTTACAAAGTGAGAAAGAAATGACCACAAATGGCTCGACAGGAACGCCGGAAACCGTGCCGGAGGAAAAAGTCCCATTGTAATCTGCGGATAATACAGACTGAACTATGGGACAAAAGGGGACAATGGTTTAATAGAGATCAATGTAGTGTAGATAACTTAAGTTGAACATTGTTCAAGTAAAAAAAAAAACAACTTCCATTATGTTTTAACATATTTTTATTTTTCGAAACAAAGAATTCGGATCATTAGTCCTTGTAAAAATGTAGGACTCTCAGTGTACATGTATGCCTCATCATCGTGTAGCCGTTTGTGTCGAACATCGTGTAAACTTATCTATCAATGTAAGGGATGTAACTGAATTGTTCATACAACTGATAATTTGTTTCTCTGAGGACTCATTACAACCAGATTTGAAATGGCTGCCAATTATTTTAAGCAATGGTCTTGGCTGTGATATCTCCTTTGTCAGTATTTTAACATGGCTTATATTTTTCATCTATGTAGGAAGTTTTGAAATCTATTTATACAATTAATTGAAGCTACTGGTATTATATAAATAGTTTTCAAAAATTCCTAGATTGATGACAAATAAAAGCCATATTAAGATACTGACACATGAGATACTATAGCCATGACCTTAGCTTAAAATAATCAGGGGCCATTTCAAATCTGGTTTGATAAATCCTCAGAATAGTATTCTTAATAGAAAAGACTTGGTGAACAAAAAAAATGAAATTGTATGATGAAAATTAAGATATTTCTTCTCTCAATTGTTTGTCAGTTAAGAACTCTTAAGAGTCTGATGTAGTTTTTGTTGCAATAAGTCAAGAGTGAAGAATTAAGACATAATATATTTTTCTCTGAAATTTTGTCAATATAAAAATGTTATGATGGTGTCAGTTACATCTCTGCATTGCCATAAATGTTTGCTAAGAATTCTGCAAAAGTTTCAACAATACTGGCAAAAAATGTATATTTTTATATTTATCAAGATATCTATACTTACTTTGCAAGCCTTTGGATAACAATAAGATGGGGAAAAATGATCTTAGTCAATTATGTAAGGAAGATAATTTTCTGATACAATTTCGTATTAACATCTCTATTTACACAAAAGAATAATTATTATAATTTTTTTGAAATGTTAAGTTATGGAATGGTCATTTAAAAAGATACAATTGTTAAGGACATCAAGGTTGTACTTAAAGCCTTCCTTTATTTGACCACCCATTACATTTTTAGGCTTTGAAATTGAAAAGTATGATGTTTCTTTTGAAACCTTCATATTTGGTTTGAAATGTGGAAAATTGTTTTACTACACAACAGAATTTACATTTTAAGTATTTCACCCATCTAAAATATATCTTGAAAGGACTTGTCATCTTTCAATCCGCACAAAACCATTCATCGTTCTAGGGAATATTTCAAAATAAGTATTGACACGATAGTAAACAATAAAGACCAAGATCAGAGGGCACTGATATGCTGGCTGATCATGGTCTGCATTGAAAGGAGTTACTTCCAGTAGGCTAAAGAATAATAAATGTTCCGTTGGTTGGTTTATTTATTTACAATTTTAAATTTAGTTGAACTAAAGCAGTTCTATTTGTTTCATTCTCCCATTTTTCGTGCATCTGATTTATGTTTATCTTTAATGCTAAGTGCTAGATAAATTATATTCTAAGATTTTTGTATATACTGGCTCATACATGTAAGAGGGTTTTTTAAGTGGTTTACTAAAGGTTTTACCGTACACCTAGTCCTTTAAGTGAATCATTATAGATATTAGGAAAATGCTTTTATTGAATGCAGAATACTGTAGATTTGATTGTAAAATTTAGACCCTGTCTTATATGTGGTCTGTCTTAATAAGTTATGAGCAAGTAAATACACAATAGGTCATGAAACAGGTAGTGTTATATATATATATTTATATACTGGCATTTTATGTTATGGGAATTTAATGTCCATAAATTATATGTGATATCATAAAGTTAAAGAGACCAAGATTTATTCAGTGTGAAAGTTTGTACATGCAGATCAATGCAAGAATTGTTTGTCTTTTCTTTTTATTTGCCTCTTTTTGTGTGTAGTTTTGTATTATGTGTCTCAGAAAATCACAGTATGTGAGTCAGTCATGTAGAATGGAATCTTACGGGGCTAAAAAACATTTTTGTTCAAACCAAGTCACTGTTAAAATTACAATACTTTGGTGATAAATTATTTTTGTAACAAGTTTAAAACTTGTCAATTACAAAATAATCACAGGTATCCAAGTGCTATGGTACCCTACTTGGTTGGTGTCTGCCTCTGAACCCAGGGATATAAAGAGGTTTGAGACCAAAACACTGCTCAACCCAAGGGTTGTTGGTTTGAGTTCTACTTTGGGAAATGGTCATATTTCATTCATATGACACCAGTACTGATAAGTTCTAGAGAGTAGACACAATTATATAAGTTGCAGAGACATGTGTAGCAGTCAGGCATAAATAAAAATGTTTAATTTATCTCTAACTCTTAAATTTGAGTTTCTAAATGAACAGTAAAATAGAAATACAATTTGTGTACTTTCTATAAAACGTGATGTCAGATATGTTTAATAGGTTTACATTGCAGTGCTATATGTCAGAGTGGAGTGGGTTTAATGATGTATGTTGAATTTATTTTATATATTTATTGTTTCCTTAGTCATTAATTGCATGATGAATTCCTGTGAAAAGAATATGTTACAACTAACTGATGTATATATCCTATATCATAGTGTATATCGTTTATTTCGTTACTGTCTTGTTTTTTTGTTAAGAAATATTACATTGGGTTTATATTTATTTTTTGTTAAAATCACAATTGGGCCTATGCTATACTATATACAATTCTTCTTTTTAAAAAAATGATATTGAAACATTTGTGCAATGTACATCTCATATTAAAATTTATCAAGTCTGCGTGTTGAAAAAGTAAAGAAATTATATAAAAAAAAAAAACGTATTTACCTTCATATAAGACGCCTTTTTATCTTCAATTTTGTGAGGTATATCAAAGACCTAGTCTTATATGTGGGTTTTAAAAATAATGTCAATATGAGAGCCAAGGGGCCTTAATTTAGGCATTTAAAACAATTTTTTCAGTGATCTCTTCAAGGCTGTGTTTAAAGATTTGACATTTTTTTAATGATTTTTTTATGACGTGAATATTTTGCCCAAAAAGTGTGGTTTAGAATTTGTTGCCAATTCAACACAGTTGTTGTGTTTTACGTATTGTTTACAAATGAAAATAGCCAAGTTGTTCAAAAGTTTAATTTGATGAGGAAAATAGAGGATGAGAAAAATAGAGGACAAGTTGTTAGACTGAAGGAAATATCAGTTCTTCATTATGTTTATAATACATAAAATTAGATAATTAATACATAATATAACATACTGGATATTAATTTGATATTGTCAATTTTTCTGTGGTTGATTTTTCTTTTATTTTTTAAGGCAATATGTATCAAATATCAGATTTTATTGCACATTTCTTTTATATAGTTTGTGAACCAGTCTTTGTAAAACAGTCTTGAACTGTAAGTTTTCTGATTGGTCAGTTAAAAAAAAAATTAAGCAGTCCGATATTATAGTTGATTTGATTGGTTACTTAATCAGCCAATGAATTTTTACAGAAAGCTAGACTAAAAAAAAAGTATTATCATCATTTTTGACAATAAAACATTCCATGACATTTAATGACTCCAGTAGCAAAGTAATTTTTATTTGATTAACAGAGTCTTTAGGGCAGTTAAAGTAAAATAAGTCAATATAAAGTGTCAAAACAACAGAACTTATGTGTGTTATTTCTACTTAGAACAATGCCATTCTTTCTAGTTAGGGTCTTCTTTAGGGTATATATAGCGTCAACAATACAAAGACAGGCTTCCAAATAATATTTAGAGGTTCTATAGTGTTTGAAAATAATACATTACTTTTTTCTATGTCACTTCAATATAGCATAGTGTTGGCATCTCTGATGTATACTTTAAACATTTTCTTGCCTTCTTTTCGCACCTGGTGCTGGGATACATTCATGTTGATAGAATACCACCTATGTTATAACTTGTTAACATTTCTTCCATTTATGTCAACATGCATTTGTTACTAGTTTCTGTAGATGTATATGTTTAATGTTTTAACAATTTTCATAACACATTAAAATGTTAATTTATATTTTCTTTATTGAGTGCTGTTAATTTACCAATCAATTGTAACTCTGTTCTGCACTCCACACAGAGCGTAGGGGATATATGAGCAATGATTTTCTACATTCTGTTATTCCCGACACTGCCAGGTCAGTCTGGTGATCTTGTATGACACAAATAAGTGTGAATACTCCCAGCACAATGGGGCATTAAGCAGGGATTCAACAATCTGACAATCTCCACATGGCCAGTTCTTTACAAGGGTTGATACTCCCATTAAGTCTTAGTGCCCGTTATATCCCCAGCATTGGCATGAGGGGCCAGAAATTTCAGAGTTACAATTGACTGGTGTGAAATAACAATGGTTCTGTTTGCACAATGTTTTTTATCATTAATTGTAAATCGATGGTTAAACAAAAGGTATATGAAATGTCAATCTGCACCTAATTTTGTGTGATTTAGACTTTAACCAAAATGCCTTAATCTTCTGTGGTATGTAATTTAGAAGATTTGTATCTTTATGTGCCACCTTCCTGAAAATTGGAGCATCGATTATTGAATCATAAAAACACCTGTAGATTTTTGAAGATTTCAATATTTAATGATGTCACTTACCACAAACATTGTGTTGCTATATGTTGCATTATAACTACAGTTAACATTCCTTATTAATATGTCAAGAAATTTCAATTCGCAAAGAGCTCAATTTAATCAATCACTAAAGTATTTAGACTTGATTAATAATAATATTGTTTACTGTTTCTATAAGTTATTCAGGACTTAGCTTTAAGTATGATTCTAGTGCAGAAAATCAATAGTGCCGATGTAACTTGTAACTGAACCAGAAAGAAAAAAAAAAAGAAATGTTTTTTGTTAAATTTTAAGTGTTAGATTTTTAAAAGTTCATTGACCAGAGTTAACGAGTTACTGTACAATGTAAGCATTTATTGATCTTGTTTTGCCGCTTTTCTGAAGTAAGTGATTGGTAAGTTTGAAAACCCAATTGTGCAATATTGCTTATAAATAAAGTAATTTCTTATAATGTAAGCATGTTTTGTTTTCATTCATAAGTTCCATTTGATTAAGTTAGTTAGGAACAACACATTGAGCAGTAATACGTGCTCCTCTTTGTCCCCAAAATCTTCCGTTTTCACTGGATGTCATTTCTCCCTAAAATTCAGAATACTTTATTCCATTTTGTTTGGCTTGTCATGGAGGACTGGACAAGGTAAATCTTGTCCACCAAAAGTGCAGTGCTCAAGAACTGTTCTTTCTTCTACATAATTTTAAAGATATACTGTGCTCATCCTTGAGTGAAATATTTAAATCAATAAATTTATTGAAAGCTCTAAAATTCTTACTGAATATGTCTAATTTGAATAAAAGAACGAATAAACTATGTATAGGAAGCTGTGTTCCTTATTACAGGTCAAGTAAGTTGGTAGTTTACTGCCAGTTTTTTTAATGACACTATATATTCATATTGTGACCACCTACAGTGTGTAGAATTTTAATCACAACATATTGACGTTGTGTGAAGTAAAAACATGTTTATATTTACAGAGACTGTGTAGCAAATGACTCTCAGGATTTCATGGCTAGTGAACACCCCGAGCAGTTATCATTATTTTCTAATATAAAATTTGAGCATATTACATCTTTAAAATTACTGCCCTATGTAATTTGAGAGTTGTGACACACAACTTTAACAGGGGAGGTATTAGCATGAAACTTTACAGTATATAAACAAGTCTACTTCCTGTTATCGAAAGTACGGTAAAGGTTAAAATATATAGGCCCAGTAAGGTCCAGTGATCGGAAGTAACATGTGCTTTTACTCACAAGAAGGGTACACATTGAATTATATAGGCTAACAAGACAGGGTACAGTGATTTTGTTTATATACTGTGAACTTGGGTTAAGTAGAAAGATTTCATAATACAGAGAATAGCCATGGAATCTCAACCGTTTTTGTTGTAGTTTCTGTCCATAGAAATTGTTCAAAGAACTGTAGCTTTCATAGTTATTGCACTGTGTTGGTATGTCATTTGTGAATTTAGTGCAGTGCACACAATTCAGTTTCACTCGTCTTACCCTCGCCACTTTCTTATACATTTCCACAACTCATAATAACATGTTCCAATACATTAATCCAATACCCTCCAAACGGAACTAAATACATGGGAGTATTTTCGCTTCATACAAACAAAAAACATCATTTCACATATAAAGATTATTTATTTCAATAGAAATACTAAATTTACACACATAATTCTAGCATAATTAACATACATAACTTTTAAACCTTGTCATACACCAACTTATTTCACAACAATCATAAATTAGAACAGAATAAATTTGGTTTCAATAAATCTTTGAAAAATATATTTAAACACAGCTAATGTGTACAAAAAAATCCTTATAAATGCATAGGTAATGGCGATATCTGTAATTATGATCCTTTCATATTTAAACTGTTTAACAAAAACATTAGATTTATAAACTGTCTTAAAGTTTGTCAAAAAATATTTAAAAAGGAAATACTAAAATATCAATTTACACATATTCTGAAATGGTCCTTCAAATCTAGCACATGGATTTCTTAACAATAAGTATACTTTGATATACGATGTTTTTTTATCTGTTCTCTTGTCTGAATGAAAGAAAATGGCTTTGGAATGCTTCATACAAAAAGAAACATCAAGAGATAAAAATTAAAACTTACGTCAAAACTTTATGACAACTGTAGAACAAAAACATTGCCATGTACTTTGGGAAACTTAATGACATTACATATTGCACCTAGTTAGCTTACTGTCCAATATCATTAAAATCATATTCTGTCCCTCCACTATCTTTTGCTAGGTCACAGGGAAGAGCAACAGACCAAACTATCTGATTTTAACGAGATTGCCTTCAATACATCAAGTATTGTGTTATCAAAAAAGAAAACATTCAAGTTTTGCTTTTCTTTAGCATTTATGCTAGGTAAATATCCGAAGTCTATATATATTTATGCCAATAGTGAGAAACAAAAAACAAGATGTTCCTAATACATAAAGCACTTTTTCTTAGTTATCTATTAGCATATAAATTAAACCAAAACAATATCCTGATACACATCTCAGAGAGGGTACTTACAAAACTGTCATGACAGGTATAGAATTACTCATTGATGAAGACATACACCAAGTCTGGACTAGTTAGTAGTAATATAACTTCTGGCATCTGATCTTGGTCTGCATATTTTGGTATTCAATAAATTGTAATTAAGGAAATTTTCCCTAAAATTGATGAATGGTTTTGTCCGGATTGAAAGATGGGCAAGTCCAATTAAGATATTCAGCAGGTTAAGGGGATACTGGATGAAATGATCAGAAAGAGCCAATTAGAATACTGCTTACCATGAAATTAATCCATGAATATTGACAACTTGAAATAAATTGATAATAAAAAATTGACAACTTCTATTGTAAAACCTTAACCAACATTAATTATGAGAAGCAGAACAAATGAACAATGCACTCTCTGTTTTCTGACTTTTTTCTTTATTTACAAGGTAATCTACCTATATATATATATCTTTGGACATCACTGTTTTTTTCTCTTAAATAGGACTATATTCATAATGAACAAGATCTCTGCTTTGTGTCAACTCTAAATGGTAACTTGCTATCTATGTTCCTATAAAAAAAATATTTTATTAACCTCCAAACTATATTACGGTAAAAAAATAATTGTAAAACAAAACTCATACAATTTGAGGAGCAACATTTCATATGACACAGAATATAAATGTATGTAACCAGAGACCTTGTACACATTGAATTCTTTCCATAATTTGATTAACAAACTAAACAAATAAACATCATTAAATATTCTTTAAACCATGGACCTTTACACATTCACTCCAGCTAGTAAATTCTCGTATTTCTAAGACTTCTCTCCTTTCCTGAAAAAAGAAATGAAATTGTTTTGTTTTTTTAAACAGTCTTAATTTTGAAACAAAATTTTTCAACATTCATGCATATCTTAACCCGACTAAAATTATTTCACTAAGTTCAACCTAGCAGCACAATCAGTATTGAGCAATGTATATAGACAAATCAAATCACTTTCTTACACATGACTAACATAACAGGTTTAAAGTATTTCCCAAATTCTTAGTTTTATTGTTAGCCGTAAATGTTTCCTTTTCTTAATTTTGCAAGTAACGTAATTAAAAGACTTCTAATTTTTCAAAAATCAGCAGAAAAGGGCATTTAAAATTAAAGTAGTCTTACTCTAATGCTTTCCAGCCAAAAAAATTTCTAACATCGGCCAATATCAAAACTTATTTGTCATTTCCGGAATGTTATTTTCACAATCTTCAGTATTCAATAATTTGTTTGCATTTATAATTGTAATTTACTACATAGCGATAAATGATAAGTGATTGTAATTAATTTAATGCCCAGGATTTTGAAAAAAGTAATCTTCCAGAAATAACCAATTTGTTACGATATTGGCTGTTAAATGTCTTTTGGCGGCAAAGCATTACAGTAAGACTACTTAATATAAACTAGAAATGTGTCCATAGGACACGGGTGCCCCCACCGCGCCACTGTTCTGTCAATCTTTTTACTAAGTCAAGGGAAATAACTCTACAAATACTGGATAAATCCACAAGCGAAACCCCAGGTGCAAATCTAAATATGCTGAGCAACCTGCCCATAAGGTTTAATGACTATGTCAAATCCTTTTTGAGTAACTTGCGACACAAGTTGAAAATTGTAAAAATTTTCTAAGTGAAGGGCAATAACTCTAAAAATACTAAATAAATCCAGACAAAAATACCTGGTGCACAACTGCACATGCTGATCAATATTCCTGTAAAGTTACATGACTCTAGGTCAAATACTTTTTGAGTTACGTGCGACACATGTTGAAAATTGCAAAATTTTACTAAGTCAAGGGCAATAACTCTGAAAACACTAAAAATATCCAGATGGAAATACCCAGATGCACAACTACACATGCTTATCAACATTCCTGTAGAGTTTCATGACTCTAGGTCAAATACTTTTTGAGTTACATGCGACACAAGTTGAAAATTGCAAAATTTTACTAAGTCAAGGGCAATAACTCTGAAAATACTAAAAATATCCAGACGAAAATACCCAGGTGCACAACTTCACATGCTGATCAACATTCCTGTAAAGTTTCATGACTCTAGGTCAAATACTTTTTGAGTTACGTGCGACACAAAAGTGAACGGACGGAAGGACAAGGGTAAATCTAAATGCCCGCCACTAACGTGGGGGCACAAAAAGAGCTGTGGCCTAGTGTTTAAGGAAACTGGCCGTCAACCCAGGGTTTGTGAGTTTGAGCCTACTGACACCAGTTTTAGTTTGTTTAAGGAAGTGAACTAGAGATTGGTTCAAATAAGATAATTTCACAATATATTACATATACTTGGAAACCCACTTCCAAGAAAAATTAATAAACTTGTTGAATTTTTTTAGTCTTAGACAAACTCCTAACCATTTCACACAGTAAATTGTGTACATACCTTCTTGCTGCTATACTGCTAAGTAATCTATTGCCAAATATAAATGTTGGAATTCCTAACAATCCGAGATATCTCAATGTATCAAACATGTTGAATGTTGTCCAGTACATGTAATATAGGCCAAACAATGCTGAAAACAAAACAAACAAAATAATTTCAGTCTTCCCTTGAAATTAAGAAACATGAAATACTCGACAAGTTCATTTAAGCAGCTAAGATTTTAGTATTTGGTCATTAATCACTTATCTGTTGAGTGGCTTGGCACTAAACTGCTGGCAAGGGAATGCCGATAATATCACTTCTAGCATTGAAATGGCAGCAGAAAGTTGTGTATAGTCATCTTACTAACTAATGCATGTAAGCTAAGCTGAGTATTCCAGCATTTATAATTCTATTATTCAAATATTTTGCCAAGTAATTCATTATACCAGAAAAATAACCTTCAACAAATTTAAAGAGCTCATCAAGCTTTCAACTTTGTTATGCTTGATTAAAGAATGCAAAGAAAATAGGTCAAGTGTACATACCACCAAGACAGACGTGGAAGCCAATAGCACTGACAGAGAATGGGAAGTTTGAGATATTTACTCCAATCTTCATCCACTGTAACAGAAATAAGTTTCATGAAATAAACATTAAATCATTCACCAAAGTATTTGGACAACATAGTTATGACAAGTTTATTACTATTGTAAAACTTCTCCTTTCTTGTAAATTCTATTGAAATTACCTTTAAATTTCTATTACTTACTTTTTAATGATATATTGGCCACCTTTTTCAGTTTGCTTTTAATTTTAATAGTCTCAGTGAAGGACATTTGCCACTTTGGTTGGGAACAGACCTCTCCCTTCAGTTTTCAACCAGCTGCAGTAAGTAGTATGAAGTCAGTAATCTAAACACCTCTGCCATGATGGCCCATGTATTGTTTACAAGTTATACATGTCTAATGTCAATAAACAAAGATATCATAAATCTCTATAATACACAGAGAACTTGCTATTTCCTATCATATGTGAATAAATTTCTTGATGAGAATATTAGTGGAAGTTAATTCTTGATAAAAAAAACATTTGTAAGTTTTTAAATATCATAAAAAAACCCCAGTAACAATGGTTAAACTAGACTGGTCTACTTACACAGATGAAGAGAATGGCAAATGGAACAAGAACCAGTCCAGTAAATGCCAGTGATACAGTCTTTGATGGTCTTTTCTCTGGCTCTCTGAACATATGCTGGAATACAACATAAAAGTCAATACAAATATTATAACAATATCTCCCTTAAAATTTTCAATTACATATGAAATATTTCCATAAAGCCCTAGCTAAGTCTAAAAGGGTGGCATTAACTTAAATTTTACCCAAAGTCCGAATGAGATTCAACTTAAACTCTACAGAAGAATTTTTTTGATACAAATATGTAAAAAAACTATTTGAAATGAAAGTCAAATTAAACTATCTAGGGTCCTTACAGATAAGTCTATACACTTATTTTTACAACCTTCATATCTGAAAGGCATCAATAGCTTTTAAAAACTGTAAATATGGAAAAAGAAATGATTCAATTTCTACAATACAAACATTTATTTCTTACCTTAATTTCTGGTTTCTTGGCGTACTGATCCACTTTCTTACCAGTGGCTGGCATTTCTTGGAATGTCAAAGCAACATCAGCCTAATGACAAAAACAACAATAAAACAATGCTCTATGTACAAAAAAAAAGATCTAAAACATTTGACGGCAAGCTGCAATAATAACAGACTCATAATAACAGGAAAATGCTAAGCAAGTCTGAAAATCTGCCAACTGTGGCTGGAGTTATATTGTTGGCTATGTAAATGCTTGATTCTACAGAAGCAGTCACTAATTATTATGTAAGCTATGTTTTGTATCATTTTCAAACATAAAATAGCCTCAGTATAGACTTTTATCCAACCTGGCTCAAAACTACTGTCATCATCAATGTAAGCATTCTATGGGTCAATTTTAATAATCAACAGTTCAAAATGGTGAATGCAGAACAAGCTTTGTTTAACTCAGTAAATATTAAACTTTCTCTACATACAAACAAGGCTTCAAAATATGTCAATTTAAAGCAAAATGTGATTAATAGAAGAATCATAACAAACTGTGAATTACTAAAGTAGTTCAGACATGACATTAATTGTTGATTTATTATGAAATACACTGATAAAAATATGCTTACCAGTTTCCATGAGATTGGATTTTCAATGACAGCATCTCCAACAATCAACTCAACATTGTATTTGCCAGATTTATAACCAAAATCTTTGGCACTTCCGCCAACATTCTGAAATGGTAGTAAAAAAAATTTTCACTTGGAATCTTAGCAATTGAATTGCATCAAAATATATGAAGAACTGAATCTTTACTCTATGAACCTGTCAGAGCATCGCCCTTTAAAAGACGAAAAATTTTATTGTTTTAAAGAGCAGAGCCTGTCTGAGGTTCAATTATCATAAAAAAATTTCTTTGGGGAATAAATAATACTGTTATTGTAAAGACTAGATTGCTCTACAGAGGGCTACACTGCTGAGGTTGCATTGTACTAATGAGAGCACAGAAAAAATTAATATATCAAGAGTTGCATTCTATTTATATTTAGAATGCTGTTTTCTTTAATGATAACAATATTGAAGTGTGAAGAGTCCACAAAATGGCCCCAGGAATAAATCAAGTTACCAATAATCAAGGATAATTTAAACAAATGTAAAAACCAAACAGTAATACATAACCAGATCCCAAACTTATTTCACATAGAATCGTGCCTCGGGCTAAAAGATTTCTTCTTTTTGGATTCCAAGTTTTAAGTTTTACAAATTTTGATGACACGAAGCATTTTGCCCAGATGCATTTTCCTTCAATTGTAAATTTCATGATCAAACTTTCTGATGGAAGTCCGTTTCGAAAGAGTGGTCTTTACTTCTCGGATACTGAATTCTGTTCCAAGACAAAAATACAAAATTTCAAGAAATGGTCGTAATAAAACATTATGCCGTATGTATCACAATAATTATATGTTAATATATGCTAAAATTTTCCCCAAGTTGGTTCGCAATTGAAATTTTCTCATAATGACAACCCAAACCCTTTAATTTAAATCTTTACCAAATCATACAAAATTAACTTTACCTGGCTGGTTTTGGAGCTGAACCTTGATCCTTATCAGCGACACCAATCTCGACACTTTCCACAGCTATCTGAGTAGTGACCTTGACAGTGACCGATGCCCCAGATGTACCAATGAGCCTACTGTCAGCTTTCTGGGCCTCTACACTAATAGTTACCTTATAGAAGCCACTGGAGGGTTTATTTGCCATGAAGTCCATCTCATACAGGGATCTACAGTTATAAATAGAAACATTTCTGTCTAAAATACACATTTAGCTGCAAGTGCGTCTAACTTAAGAATTCAATGATTGCAAATTTTCCTCTCAGGCTCTAACTAAAATATCACAGTTCTATAAATCAGACTTTAAAAACTAAGGAGTCTCGTGAAAAGTTGTATAAGTCTTACTATGCTGTAGCCTTAAGTGATTGGTCTTTGTCACCTGTATAGAGTCAGGGCAGGAAGTACATTTTACTACATTATAGCAGTCTGACCAGGCTCTAAACTGTTGGCTAACCAACTTACAATATTCATCTTGCTATCCCGAAACTTATAATAGAAGCTGGACAATCCTATTTAAGAAATTTAGAAGGTTAACAATTGAAAAAATAGTTGCCTCTTGTCGAATGGAAAACTTTGTGCATTAGTTCTTCTCCATACATGTTTATATATAGTTTGGCTAAAAAAGAAGTCAAGTTGAGTCACTTACTCTTCGTTTGTGGCCTTGAATTGTTTCTTGTTAACAACAACAGACTGGTCTCCAACATTCTTAGCACTATCAGCAGTAACTGTCAGTTTACCTAGACTGCCTCCCATTAAGTTGGTTACTCTAACCTGTCAAAGTTAATAAACACATTTAAAATATAAACTTATAACTCAACAATTCAAACTTACCAAATAACATTTATATTTCCAGCAATCCTGTAATTGCTAGTGGTGTTTTTAACCTGCATACGTCACCAGTACAGTCTGTATGTCAGTATAGCAGTGTTATTTGGCTAAATACTGTTGACTGCATGTTGATGATAAAATCCTGTTTATTAACAATGTCAAGTTTGAAATTCACAACTAATAAAGTCTGTATCACAAATTTACTACTTCATTGAGGTATTTTTTCCACTAGGTAATTAAATACAAACTATGACTTTACTGCCAGCAAAGAATTCCTAAAACAAAGTTCAGAAGTTACAAGTTTTATTAAAGCTCTTTATTTTACAAATTCTATCAATTATTTGGGAACAAAATTTAACATTAATGGTCAATAAGGTTAAAGTTTCATGAACATCAGACCAGTATTGTATCAGACACTCTTTTTTAAAAATAATTCATCTTGTTCTCTTTTTTTTATTTGTTTAATGAAATATGAATACATTAACTCCTCCGCTTTAAGATGGCTTTCTAAATTTTTACACAGTTTTCCTTTCATAAAAAGTATAAAATTTAACCCAATAGAGAATGTAGAAAATTGTCAAAACATACGTTCAAAATTTCCAACCACCAATAGATAAATTCCGAACTATGGCTTCGTTTAATTAACGACACCACCCCCCTGGGCCAAACCATGATCAAGATTACAGCACTGGCACATGGAAAACTGTAAATATGGTAAGAATTTTAACTTTTTTACTTTAATGGTACATAATTATATGATTTTTTGTTTACTCTTTAATGAATCACACGTATTATGTTTCAATGGTGAATTTTTGAGCTTTCATTATAGTAAAGAAAAGACCTTCAGGTGCCCAATTGTGGCATTCTCCTTGAAACTATGGACTGGCCTCCTTATTTGAAAATATTCCTCTTTCATCAATCTTAAAAACAAAAATCTTTGACGTCTATTTATAGCTACTGGAATACTATAAGCGAAAGAATTGTTAACATACAAATGGCATAGTTTTACCTTGTTATCAGTGAGTGTGTTGATGGCAGAGAGAAGAGCGTATGCAGATTTCAGTTGATGTACATGTTTACGGCTCATAAAGTAATTGGCAAACTTCAATACTTTATCCTGAAAAATATTATTAACAGACATCATAACAAACTTTTCATAGCAAATTTACAAACATGATTTTTAGATCCATGTACTCCAGTCAAGTAAAACAAACATTCTTATCAATTAAAGGCAGCCTTAAGTATCTTTATAGCCTTTAACATTCTTATGTTGGTGAAATAAAAAGTTCAATATTTTATTCAAGTGAAAATACATGTATGACACTTAGCATTGTTTACCATAAGGAGAAAATAAGCGTCTTAAAAATATTGGAAAACATTTCTTACATTCATCAAGGAAACCGTGAATTATTTATCTAACTGAATACTTTAGTTGCCTAACAGTCAAATCCTTTCTGATCTTTATTTTGGTTGATAAATCTTGTAAAACACTGGTGGGAGTTGCAAGAAAACCTCAATTTTTTCCATGTCAGCTACTAATAAGATACCAATGAACAGTTTTACTCAATTTTTATTTATATATTTTTTTGATAAATTTCTTTAATAGACCTTTCCTGCATTACACGTTACTAAATTAAATTTTTTTTTTTAAATGAATACATTGAAAACATAACACAAAGGACAGACGAAATATATCACTTGCTACTAAACCTATTATGTAGATAATTGTTAATTTCAGACTGACCTGAGATATAGTTGGAGCTTTGCCAACTTTTCCTGCTAGTTTATATGAGCTATCTACAACTGATGCAGATACAAATAGTCCACCTTCAAACTGTAATACAAAATAATATATTTACTTGAATATGTATATGAAGACAAAACATGAAAGCATGGTTGTAATTCTTTACACTCCATTCAATGTAACTATTCATCTTTTTAGTCAAGTTTTTTTTTCAGAAAAAAAAGCTTAGCAATATTCAGCCCGTGATTCTCCACTTAACATAAAAAAATTCTCAAAACATATAACAAACTATCTCCATGTAAGGCCTTTATATATATATATATACATTATATAAATTTAGAAATATTTACTATTTGATTGGTAAAGTTATAGGCTCAACAACAGGGAACAATCACTTTTATTAGATAGAGGATATTTGTTTAGTTCAGTGTAAGATCGGAATATATTTCACCGAGTGAGCACCAAAAGGTATATTTCACGAGTGGCGCAGCCACGAGTGAAATATGAACTTTTGGTGTTCACAAGGTGAAATATATTTCTATCTTACACTAAACTAAACAAATTTTCTTTTTATTATATGCAAAGAAACGTTTTAAAAAGACATTAAACCTAATACTGAATGAAAAGCGCGCTAAATAATAATACAACGTGACGTCATTTACGACGTCACGTCATTAAGTTGGTACCCAGTTCTGTGCACGCTGGTATTTCACTGAAACAACGTAAGGGGCTTAAATTCAAAAACAGTGAAATTATCAAAGTGGTAATTTCACTGTTTCAAACAGTGAAATTACCAGTTTTTATATCACTGATATATTTCAATAAACCACCGAAAAGCATGTAATAAAATACAATAATATAAAATAAATCTAAAATCTAAAATAAATACAAGACAACCATACACTGTAAATTGATTTCAGATTTTGAATAATTTTATTTCAACCTTCTACATTTCACTCTATATATAACTGCACATTTTTTACTTCACGTGAGTCTTTACAAATACCTTTCTAGCTTGTTTCAGAACTGCACTGTCACAACAATCTCCCTATTCAAACAACACAACAAATGTTATTTTTGCCAAAACAAACAGCAAATAAAAACATGAAATAACAATCTGTTTACCTGCAGATATTTGTCATCAACCTCATCAGCTTGGGCGACAACATCTTCTATCAGATCAAAATATTTGTTGAGATCTGTATTGAGCTCTGTGGCCACACGGAATGCATAGCTATGACTGTAAATGTAGAATATTATAATTGTTAAAAAAGACTGGAAAAAATAGGCAAAATGGCAATAGAAAACTGGAACACAAAATGATTACTTTAACCATACTCATTTAACATAATCAATTTCAAAGGTAGCCTATGAAAATTTAAGAGTAGACAGTGGTATAAAAAATACTCCTTAGCAACAATCATTTTTCCATGTTAAGCATACAGTAATTCTGCAATAGCAAGAGCTTATAACATGCAACAGGTGCTTACAGTGAGCACATTTTGATTTGAAATGAAAAGCACATGCACAGACACATAAATTCTGGGATGTTCTCTTCTCATTCCATTTTCATTTTTACTTTTTGGTAAAGGCTGGGGATAATCTGTTTCCATAGATTATGAATAGAGCTGAATTTTTTTGAAGTTAGAAATTGATTTGCCAGTTTCTATTTACCTCAATGGAGAATCGTCTTTCTTTAAAGCCTCTGTGAGAGCTGCCAAGACTTTCTTTCCATCAACTGAAAAAATACAACATCAATATAAATTATACTACTGACTGATATCCAAAAAGTATACTGATATGAATCCATTAAAGAACTAGAAATCATCCCAATGTGTCATCATGCCACGGATGCCCCTGTATGAAGCCAAAATTTCAGATGTTACAATATTTAGTATTTTTTTCATTTTAAGTTCAAAGCCCCTTAAACTTTTCAATGTTAACACAAATCATTTTTATACATTGTTGGAGGCACTGAAATTATTCAGTCTTAACCTTTTGTAAATTGCATATTGCATATTTGTAGCCAAAATAATGGCTACATACATTTCCACAAAAGTATGAGTGCTGAAACTGAAAATTCAAAATTTTTCCAACATTCAGGAAAGATAAGTTTGTCCAAAATCATTGAACCACGACCAAATTCAAACTTAAACTGCTTATTCCTAAGATGTATCTATATGTTAAATTTGAGTTGAATGTGTACAACCATTGGGGAGATAATGAACGGAAACTTAAAATTTCTGATTTTTTTTCAAAGTTCAAGAGGGATAACTCTGTCAGCTATCATCAAACCATGACCAAATTCGAAATTGACCAATGCATTCTTATGACATATCCATATCTTTAATTTGAGTTGAATATGTACAACTGTTGGGGAGATAATGAATGGGAAACTGAAAATTTTCTTTTTCCAAATTTTCCAAAGTTAAAGAGGCATAACTCTGCCAAAATTCATCAATGACAAAATTCAAACTTGACCTGTGCATTTCTTTCACATATCCATATGTCAAATTTGATTTGAACGTGTAATATCCTAGAGGAGATAATGAACTGAAACTAAAAATTTCATATTATTTTCAAAGTAACTCTGCCAAAAATCATCGAAGCATGACCAAATTCGAACTTGACCTGTATTTTCTCATGACATATCCATATATCAAGTTTGAGTTGAATGCGTTGTACCCATGGGGAGAATAATGAAAGGAAACTGAAAATTTCATATTATTTTCAAAGTAAAAGGGGCATAACTCTGCCAAAAATCATCAAACCACAGTGATTAATCTAGATGTGCGTCTTGCGTAAAATACGCATAAAAATCCAAAAAGACGCACAGTTTCAAAATATGTGCGTTCAATCTGACGCATGCAAATCAGGAAGTTTATAATCCAAAATATCACGATTAGTGATTTCTATGTACATATTGATTACTTTAATTTCATTAGTTGAATAATTTTTCAATTTCTTCAGTTGAATAATTTAATTTTCGATGATAACAGGTGCAAGACTAATCCCCCATTTGCTTGAAACGTTAAATCCCAAGCAATTGTTGCTTGTGATCGGTAACCGCCCATTATCGGCATTAGCCAATCAGAGCGTCCATTTTGCATGAGAGCGATTCGCCTACAATGGTGAAATATGCAGACATTGGCGCTAAAAAATAAGAAGGGCACAGGAAAATCGTCAGCAAATGGCCAAAGGCGCATCTAAAATCTGTCCCAGACTTATATTGTATGTTATTTAGTCATCCAGACAAAACTGGTACCAACAGCAACAGGTTACCCATTCCCCTGTAATTACGCATATTCTTGAGTTTATCCATTTCCCTATAGCATTTTTCCAAGTATCTACTTACCTAATCCCTTTCCCACCTTCTACTGCATTTATACTACCGTAAATTTAATCCAATAAAGCAAACAAAAAATCATTAATCTACTTAATATTTTAAATAATTATCGGTAACTGAAAAAAAGTGTTGCTATTTTAAGAAATGCTGTAAGTTACAGTATAATCTGACAGGTGTGTAATGATTTCCCCTAAGGTCACTCAAGTTCACGTGGAGTGTAAAAAAAAAATGTCTATTACGTCATCAGAATATTTGACAGGATGATTAACCAATCAGGGTAACATTGTGCATGACTTTTTTTCATGATCAAAAGGTCTGTCTGTGTATGCTTTCTACACAGAGGCATACAAGGAGCAATAAAAGTCGTCAGTATGTATACAGTGTGAGAGGGACATTTTGTGCAAATTACGAACAATTAAAATCGATAATGCACAGTATTAGACATAAGTAAGAAAATATAAATTACGCAAATTAGATTTTTGAGCAGCCAATAAAAATTGTTTTGCCTGCATTTAATATTAGCACCAACAATAACTTTTTTATGCACTTTAATTACTTAATCGCTTGTTATAATTTTTAAACATGCAAATCATGTCAAGGATCTGCTATTAAAAAGACGCATTTATTTTGCTACATGACTCATTGATTTTGCTACAGGACTCATTGTTTTCAAACATGTGCCTCATCCGACGCATTGTCAGGAATTTCTAGATAAATCACTGAAACCATGACCAAATTCAAACTTGACCTGTATTTTCTCATGACATATCCATATGGCAAATTTGAGTAGAATGTGTGCAACCGTTACTAAGATAATGAACAGAAACTGATGACGACGGAATGACGGAAGGACAGAATGATGGAACAGGGTAACACTATATGCCCCGGCCATTATATGGCGGGGCATATAAATAGAAATTTCTAATAACCGGGAAGAAGGCTAAACAGGAAGGTAAAACACTTGTCTTGTCATACAGTAACGAAAATTAAAAATTCAGTCCGCTCTAATCATATAAAGAAATAAACATCATTCAAACATTCATTTTACTTTTACCACTTTGGTTGTTGTTATGTTTGTTTGTTTCATTTTACGCCTTTTTCCAACAGTATTTCAGTCATATAGGTGGGTAGTTTCCTAACCATCGTTCCTGGAGTACTAGACTACCTTCCGCCGTGCTAAACTATCAAAGCATCTCCCGGGGATCGAACCCACGCCAGAGAGGTAACTGGATTAGAAGTCATCGACTCTAACCTCTGGACCACAGAGGTTGTGGTTATGAATTTGTCTCTTTTTTTCCCTCTCCTTAACATAATTTCCTTATTTCTTACTTGATAATTTAGCATTCTGTGAAAGTTGGTTGAAACTACTTGGATAATGTAGGATTTAAGCACACACCAGCATATATTCATTAATAAAACTGCTAGAGTTTTCAGTCAGAAGACCTGATAAGAAAGTCATTATCTGAACATAAATGACATTACCTGCAAGACCTAGATTTTTCAATGCGAAGTAAGCATAATAGATATCAGCAACACTGCTGTCCTCAGCAACTGCAGCGGTGAGAAGTTTTTCAGCATTTCCCGGGGAAAGTTTACATCCAGACAAAGCTTTGGCTGCTGAGGAGGCGTGGAACCAGGATGCTACGCTGTTGGCCTCTACAGATGAGGTCACAGATCTGCATACCTCCTGAAATGATTACAATAAAAAATATTCACATTTGCTTACATTTACAAAATTTCTTGATGCCTCTGTCACCAACTTCAAATTACTGGCCCTTTTCACTATGGTTTTGCTTACTGCTAGCTAGCTTACTGAAGAACTGAGGTGCTACTCATTAAAGTCGGAAAGTCACTTGTGTCAGCCAGAGCAATTAAATCAAACAAAACAAAATCAAATTTCTACTATTTTTTTTTTACTTTAACAATGTCAATAAAGAGATCTGTTATAACTAATACAAGATCAGCATACATGCATATTATATAAATTTACCTTCAAGGTTATCTGTCATAATTCAGGCATTCTTTGTATTCACATTATGCAGATAAAGCAAGAAAAGTCCAACTTATATGATGCATTTAGTGTGTCCAGAAGTCATTTAATTACCTGCTCCTTGGGAATTGTTGCTCCAAGCAGTTTAAGACCCAAGATGGAATAATGTGCATTGGCAGCATCAGTGTATGGTTGTGCTGATTCAAACACAGACCTCAATCTCTCTCTGTCCACAGTGGTCAGAAATGTGGACGGAGTCAGTGCCTGACCAACCACAGCCACAGCAAACAGATATAACACAACTGAACCTGAAATAAATGTAAGACAGTCGTGAATGTTGATGTTTTCTTCAGCTTTAACACTTAAACTTAACTAGTTAAGAGTTTAGTATAACCAGGGCCAGCAAAATCAAATGACCTATTGGCCAGATTGTCCCACAGCCTGTACGGACAAGTGAACATTTTCGACAAATTACTATATATGTAAATATCATACGGACAATTAAAAAATGCTTCACATAAAAACGGACAAGTCAGTCAAAATCAGATTTTGCCGACCCTGCTAACAGAAAATGAAAGATTATCAAAGACTTTTTTTCACAGATAGTGGAAGGTCCTTTCTCACTATATGTGAAAAATTACCCTCCTGGTTTAGACCCCGTGATCTCTAATTTCCATTGCCTGCTAGTCATAATCAGAATTGATTGTTAAGCAGTATAATGTAGATGGTAGATGTTCCAGGATATCATATAGCCACTATTTCTTCCCTTTGGAAATCCCAAATTATTCATCTGTCAAGCCAGTTTTATCACAGATTTAAAAATAAAGCTGTCTTTTTCACTTACAAAACCATCTGATTAGGTTCATTTTCAGTTTTATAGATAGCAATAGTAACTTTATCGGACATGGAAAGCAATTTCGGTACTTTTTACACGTGGCAACGCCAGATATACCGGCTCATTGTTATCGACAAAATGTTCGGAAATACAGCTTATCTATGACAAAAAATTTGAGCATTGCTAACATTATTGTTAGCTAAGAACTTTGCAATGAATAATACATGGAAAAACAGGTGAATAAGGCATTGTCAACTGTTTTAAATAACTGAGTTTCAAATACTCTACCTTTCGCCATTTTAGATAGGTCACTTCCGGGGACGTGTGACATCCGGGCAACTTGAAATGCGCTACGTAATAATTTTGTTTTGTTAAAAATCTAATAAGGCCGGAACACACTAATAGAGTTACCGTCTAAATTGAGAGAAGAAAGGATGTCAAGCATTTCTTTTACATTTCTATTTTTTATATTAACCGCACTCACTTTGTCTTGAAGTACACTTGTAAATGGTTTTCTCTCCAATTTATATAATCATAAGAAAACAATTCTGGTACCAGTCTCTGGATAGTTAAATTTGGCCTGTTCATAACAGCACGGATTTATATTACATCCGTGATAACAGCTAGACAATTTATTAAAGTGCAACATCTACTCCCCCTCCGCCCACCCCTCCTCCCACAGCACCTAGTTGAGTTTGCATTTCTTCTACTTCTACTTCTATGATGAACTCGTCTGTAAATCTGCTGTGCAGACATCAGCGACGAGTGGTGATGTGAATTGTGCTCCATAAAACGTGGGCTAAAAACCTGTCCCCCATGTGCGGCACCAGGCGTTCGAGTTAAAATAATGTGAAAACGTAGTGTGAAGTAAAATCCAAACATGTTTGTACACTATACACGATGTTTAATAATTTACACAAATACGTTAGACTGGACAGCAGTTTTAAAACTGTCCAGGTTGTCCACAGTTGTACGTGATGTTAGCTGGTAGGTTAGCTTATAGCTTCCAACTGGTACAGCCACCAATTACTTATGGTTGTACTTATTTTTTAATTGACACACTGCGCAAAATCGCAATATTTAGGTTTTCATCACACTAAAATTGTACATCTATGATACAATTTTAAAAATATACAAAAGGGTGTGATTAAACTTATTAAAATGGTGTGCCATTCTTTAAAAATGGATTATTTTTTGAATTTCCATTAACATGTTGTATATCTACATTTTACATTACATTTTAATATACTTATATTCGAGTAACCTTTTCAAGATCGTCTATAATTGTTTTAGGATAAGTAAAATAATACCACTATGTAATATAAATCCGTGATAATACTAAGTACTATGCATATAGCTCAAGTCTAAAACCCCTTAATGTAAAATAACTCAAAGTAACCGTTTGCTACTGTCACAGGATGATAAATTGAACCTTTGTTTACATATTAAGAAAGATTAATAACAATGCCAAAAAATTAAGGTACGTAGACTGAAGCCTAACTAGAATTATCGCTGAATGCGATTCATACCCCCACCAATGTCCTTGACAGAAGTGGTTTAAGGGAATAACTTTAGCGGCACAAATTCATAGACATAAAAAGTGAAAAAAAAGACGGGTAATCGTATAGGACTTTACACCTCCTGGATGTTTCAACCCTGGACGTTTCACCCTCAAAACTCTGGTCTTTTCACCTCCACTTTTTAAATTTGATAAATATATGAAATAAATATAGTAGTATACATATATATTGTCAAATCATGTTCGAAAAAGTTACAAATAACCTTTCATTTTCCCAATTGTACTAAAACAAATAAAAGTAGTGAAGTTAAGAAAATACATGTAGCATAATTATGTCAAAATGTAATTAAGAGTGGAAAACCTTTGCATACTGAGCTTACTTCTGACCCTCTATATATTATATAGTTTCAAGTGAATATCAGATTCTGTTCTAGTTTCAGAAACATTTAAGTATTAATGGTTATATCAGAACATTTTCTAAGCCCAAAAGGGGTATTACTTGTGTCATAATTCAATGGAATTGTATAATTTTTCGTCAACTGAGCTTGCTTGTAACCATTCATATAAATTTTAAGTTTCAAGTAAATATCTGTTCTGGTTTAAGAAATATTATAGTAAATAAATTTAAAGACATAAAGATCGACTTAACTGTGTCAAAATGCAATACAAAGTTATTCCCCCACTTTTTCAGTTTTGAAACTTGACCTGCATATCTTACTTGCGACACTTCCGTATATATTTGAAGTTTCAAATGTTATCTGTTCTAGTTTTAGAAATATTCAAGTACATGTTAAAATTTAAGAACATTTTCTAAGTCAATTTTTGACCTTCAAGTTTGGCCTTGACCTTAAGCTGGCACAAGTGTAAGATAGGTTCTACACATTGCCCTGTTGGGGTGAACATTTGAGTCAAGTTTGAAGAAAATCCTTCCATTAGTATAGAATTTATAGAGCGGACACGACATATTGTCTAGTATTGATTGTACGTTAATTTAAAGACTTTAAAAGGGAGCATAACTTTGTCAAAATGCAATACAGAGTATAAAACTTGACCTGCATATCTTAATTGTGGCACTACATTTATATTTTAAGTTTCAAGCAAATACCTGTGCTAGTTTCAAAAATATTCAAGTATATGTTAAGATATAAGAACATTTCTAAGTCATTTTTTTTTACCTTCAAGTGTGACCTTGACCTTAAGCCGACACAAAGGTAACATGGGTTCTGCACATAACCTTGTTGAGGTGAAAATTTGAGTAAAGTTTGAAGAAAATTCTTCCATTAGTATAGGATTTATAGAGCGGACACGATATATTGTCTAATATTTGATTGCTTAAAAGGGAGCATAACTTTGTCAAAATGCAATACAGAGTTATGAAACTTGGCCTTCATGTCTTAATTGAGGCACTACATATATATTTTAAGTTTCAAGCAAATACCTGAGCTAGTTTCAAAAATATTTAAATACATGTTAAAATTTAAGAATACTTTCTAAGTCAATTTTTGACCTTCAAGTGTGACCTTGACCTTAAGCCGCAAAAGGGTAACATGGGTTCTGCACATAACCTCGTTGAAGTGAACATTTGAGCCAAGATTGAAGAAAAACTTTCAATAAGTGAAGAACTTACAGAGCGAACATGACATACTGTCTAATATTTGATTGTTTGATATTTGACCTTCAATTGTGACCTTGACCTGACACATTGTCAACATGGGTTCTGCACATCCCCTTGTTGAGGTGAACATTTGAGCCAAGTTTGAAGAAAATCCTTCAATTGGTATAGGATTTTTAGAGCGGACATGATAATGGAGACGGACGGACGGACCGACACGACAAAGCGAATCCATTATAGCCCCACCCACATTTTGTGTTTGGGGCATAATCAATATAAGACAACCAAAACATAATATTTTCATGTGCCTTGATAGCGCTAGCCATTACCTAGCGCAATAGGCAGAGCATAGGTGTCAGTGTTATATTCGTACATTTACATGTTCTAATCACGATTATGTACAATTACATCTGAGCGTTTTTAAATATCTTTCTTATTTTCAAATAGTTTCAAATGCGTGGGATAGAATATTTTTGTACACATGTTGATATGCTATGGTGGCATATTTCTGCCACCAGATAACCATATAACTAACTAGTTGATTAAGAGGTTAACATTTATTTAATTCCTGTTATGATCTTTTATGTATTGAAAAAAAACTAGTTACGTAACTAGTTAACCACATAACTAACTAGTTAATTAAGAGGTTAACTAGTTACGTAACTAGTTAACCACATAACTAACTAGTTAATTAAGAGGTTAACTAGGTACGTAACTAGTTAACATCTTAATTAACTAGTTAGTTATATGGTTATCTGGTGGCAGAAATATGCCACCATTATATGCACTTTTGTAAAAAGTTTTAAGAAAACGTCAAACATATTAAAAATATAATGATAAAAGTGTGCTTATTATATTGATCCATATAACAATATTAGAATTATAAATATTATTTATATATTTTGTAATGGCAAAAATAATAATTTGATTTTTAAAATGAAATAAACAAGAACCGGTTGAACCGGGTGATGCTCCGCGAGAAGGTTTTGGACACAGGAAAGTATAAAAAAATGAACAAAGGGAAAAAAACTCCAAAATTAGGCAAGGTAGAGTTATGTTCTTTTGCACTGCACTTCTTTTCAATGAGATCTATCTATCTATAAAGTTTCCTGATGATATCTCTTATAGTTTCAGAGTTATGTCCCGGGTAAAATTCAAAGTGTAATAATGAACAAAGGGCAATAACTCCGAAATTAGACAAGGCTTTGTTTAGGTTCTTTAAGCATTGCAGTTCTATCCAATGATATCTTGCTACCTACAAAGTTTCATATTGATATATCTAATAGTTTAAGAGTTATGTCCCGGACAAAAGTCAAAAAGTAAAAATAAACAAAGGGCAATAACTTCAAAATAAGGCAAGGTAGAGTAATGATTCTTTAGCACTGCACTTCTACCCAATGAGACCTATCTATCTACAAAGTTTCATGTTGATATCTCTTATAATTTTAGAGTAATGTCCCGGACAAAGTTCAAAGTGTCAAAATGAACAAAGAGCAATAATTCCAAAAGAAGGCAAGACAGTGTAACAGTCCTTGTTTTCTGCAAACCTACTTAATGAGATCTAATTACCTACAAAGTTTCATCTTGATACCTCTTATAGTTTTAGAGTTATGTCCTGGACAAAGTTCAAAGTGTGAAAATAAACAAAGGGGAACAATTCAAAAATTAGGCAAGGCAGAGTTACGGTTCTTGTGCACTGCACACCTACTCAATGATATCTATCTGACTACAAAGTTTCATGTTGATACCTCTTATAGTTTTAGAGTTATGTTCTGGACAAAGTTCAAAGTGTAAAAATAAACAAAGGGGAATAATTCAAAAATAAGGCAAGGCAGAGTTACAGTTCTTATGCACTGCACACCTACTCAATGAAATCTATCTACCTACAAAGTTTCATGTTGATACCGCTTATAGTTTTAGAGTTATGTCCTGGACAAAGTTCAAAGTATAAAATAAACAAAGGGGGATAATTAAAAAATTAGGCAAGGCAGAGTTACGGTTCTTGTGCACTGCACACCTACTTAATGAGATCTATCTACCTACAAAGTTTCATGTTGATACCTCTTATACATTTAGAGTCATATCCCGGACAAAGTTCAAAATGTAAAAATAAACAAAGGAGGATTATTCAAAAATTAGGCAAGGCAGAGTTACGGTTCTTGTGCACTGCACACCCACTCAATGAGATCTATCTACCTACAAAGTTTCATGTTGATACCTCTTGTTGTTTCAAAGTTATGTCACGAACAAGTAAAGCGGACGGACGGACGGACGGATAGACGGACGGACGGACGGACATGGCGGCGACTATATGCTCCCCCGAAATTTTTCGCAAGAACGGAATATATTCAAACAAGACAAAGTAAATAAAAAGGGAGAAAAACTATAACAACATCATCATAATAACATGGCAGAGCGTAGGGTTCGAACCTACGAGTTCGAATTATTCAAAGTTACAGTGACGTTTATTTACCACCTGAGTCATTGCGATGGTGCACGCTCTTATTAGAATTGAACTATCTGTATAAATAGTTATTGACACTTTCAATCTCGAATAATATGCAGACTTATCCTTAAAATGGACTTTCCCAAGTACCGTTAAGCCCAAATTATCATCCCAGGACAAAACCTTCTAGAAATGTCCGACCTCTTCACATAGATTTGTGTACAGCTATTTAAACGCTTGCATGGACCACGTCTCCACGGCAATTAATTGAGCCCACTTCTGCAAGCGTTTCTTTACTTTATGATGGTGAAAATGTTATCTTTTAAACTTTTAATTAGTATGTCACTATCATCTTAACCCTTTACCTCATATAGACACGGCTTTTCGCTCCCCCTTTTTAGGCCTCAAACAGTGAAAAAATGCCCTATTTAGACCCCAAACACTGTTTTTCGTTCACTTTTTCGGCGCCGCCCCCTATCAAAAAAAAGTACATCAAGGGGTTGCCAGATAGGGGATGTGCTCCTTCTGTTTCTGGATTTTTAAAGGGGGCGGCAGCCCCTCTCATCTCCAAGAAAATTTTGAACAAGTGACAGGCTAATTATGGCCTCAGGTTGATCGTAAGGTTACCTGTAAGCAACGCTGGAAAGCCTTTTACTCTATCTCAATCCACTGAGAAGTTGCAGCACTTTGAAATCAGTTTTGATGGGAAAAATACAAAATAGTGATTTTGGCAATTTTGAGACGTCCCCCTATTGCCATGGTAACAGGAAATTAAAGATTGAGCATGCTGTTACAGAGGCTATGGTCCAGTCAACATTTGTGCCAAAGTTTCCTCAGTACTGAAGCATTTTTCATAGTTTCATAACGGTTTGAACTTGTAACAGAAGGCTTTTCAATGAAAACGACCATTTTTCACAATATGCTCATGCAGTAAAGGGTTAAATATAGGGAAGAAATACTATATAGATTTAACAAAGTCGAGATATCGTGTATATTATGTTACGACTACGTAATGCGCATGTTCAAATACATGTAGTATACTAGCTTCTCGATTTTAAACATAAAAAAATATTTTTGATGACAAGGAAGTTTTAAAAGGTATCAGGTAAACATTTTAAGTGGTTGAAAGGATAAAGATAGAAAAATAAACTATTATAGATCTGCTCTCCTACACAAAGGTACGTGAATTTTACATAAATTAATGTGTTGCAACAAAATTATAGTTTGGTTAGATTTTAGCACATACCATTACACTTGTGACATTATGTAAAAACATTTTAATTGACTTTCCCCTGTCTTCATTCGTTTATGATTGAAAATTAATCTTTAAATTCTTACTTTTATCATAATGGATATACGTGTACCTTCATATAGGTATGATTATTAAAGCAGCATGCCTCCAAATTAATGCTAATTTTCATGAAAATTTTGAATATATATTTAAAGTTAAGTATCGTGAAGTGAACAAAGAACGTTATTTGAGCCGCGTCATGACAAAACCAACATAATGGGTTTGAAACCAGCATGGATCCAGACCAGCCTGCGCATCCGCGCAGTCTGATCAGGATCCATGCTGTTCGCTTACAAACCCTATTACAAGTAGAGAAACTGATAGCGAACAGCATGGATCCTGATCAGACTGCGCGGATGCGCAGGCTGGTCTGGATCCATGCTGGTCGCAAACCCATTATGTTGGTTTTGTCATGACGCGGCTCATTTACACAGTGCAAACGGCTCCACGTATAGTACACCAAAAAGACATCAAAAAAATTAAGAATTGCCTTTACCTCGTTGAAAATCAGTCGTTGATCGCAAATAACATTTAAATTATTACCTGAGTATTGAATCTTTTTCGTTTATTAAAAAATCTTTCTACGTTTGATTTTCTTGAAATAGGTGGGCTCATCTGGAGGCATGCACATTTAAACCTTACTGGAACTGAAAGTGAGTAGTATAGAGCGTGTGAAGTTTTTATAGCCCTATATATGCCGTTAGTAGCTCCCTTTTGTATTTTAATATTAAAATCCCTTAAACTTGAATTGACTGTTTTAAAGTCAACTAAGTCAAGATTGATTAAGACTTAATTTGGCAGTCTGTTTATGCGGAAATGCCTCTTAAGTAAATACATGTATATAGAGATTTTATAATGAACCTCTATGACTCTATAAATATTATACACTTACACTATTTGGTAAGTAGAACATTTGATATACAATGTACTGATAAAAAGCAAGTTATTTTAAAATCTTGAGTAAACATCTACCTACGCGCGATGTCGCATGTCCGACTTTTTAGGTTTATTTTTTGCTTATTTGTTGATATATGAGATAAAAAAAAGAGGCTCTATATTCATAGATTTAATCTTATTAAACAAATATTGACATATAGGTAACTCTTTGATCACTGTTGTGTGGTCCATTTATCGTGCAAAAGGAGGTATATATAAATATTGTATAGTTGAGGCGAAACAACTATTTTTGTTTTAATTTAAGTTCATTGAAGAGCGATTACACACGTTTGTTCACTTATTTAAACATCCTTATGATTTTGTAAGTACAGAACTTAAGAATGTCTAAGTGTTATTTAAAATGTAACGAAAAACACGATAACATTGTAATTATCGAGAAAGGAGTAAATTGATATTTAAATTTCAATAATATTTAGCGAGTTTCGCAACGGTTATTTGTGTCAACCCAAGCATACTGTTTAATAGTATTTTATAATTTATGTGAATTTTATTACGTCTGGAGAACAGAAATTATATTATAGTGTATTATTATGTAATACATTGTATACAGCACTTGTATTTGAGACTCAGGTTTGACGATACTACTATATTCATTGAATGACAATATTTATTTAGAGTGTTCATTGTTATGGGATTTAGGACGCTAGTTTATTATTACACTGGTCTGTTTACAAACGACAGTGATAGATAACATTTTCTAAGTGATAGAAAGTATGGATATAATGTTTCAAAGTTTTAAAATTTATTAATTATTTTTTTTCCATTCAGCTCTAAAGTGCAAAGGATAACACATAATAACATTGACAAACTTTAATCATCATCATCATCATCATCATCATCGCCGCCGCCGCCGCCGTCAACGTCGTCGTCGTCATCATCATCATCATCATCACAATTATCATCATCATCGCCACCATTATCATCATCATGATCACCATTATAATTATCACCGTCATTATCGCCATCCTTATCATTATCATTATAATATTTATAAATATAATCATCATCATTGTCATCATCACCATTATCTTCACTACCACCACCATCATCATCATCTTCATTTTTCCTGCATATGAGAGGATTAAAGAAACGACATTTGCTTTATAATTTGAGCATGTTTCAATATAACATTAGGGCATAAGACAATTTTAAATGTTGTATCATTGGAGACCTTTCTGTTGAAGTTAAATCGTGTATACATATACATTTGTTGTACATGCACAGTGCGTTAACTGGAGTGCAGATATTAGTTACCCGCACTCCAGAGCATGCCCATTGATTGGCTCATTTTTGCTGGACTTTATTTATTGTGACGGCAAAGAATGGGAAAGCATAAAAGTATCATATTCAGATGCTCGTTCATTGGTTACTTTTTTTCTGGGGTTTCATATTGTGACAACAGGGAACGTGTTTTTATGTTTACAAAAGAGAAAGAACATCAAAACACTCGGAAATCTGATTAATACACGGGGGCTACGCCCCCTCGCACAAATCAGATAGCCTCGTGATTCGTTGCTCTTTCTATTACTTAATAAGATTGATATTATCTTATCATCGCGAAAAACTTCAATAATACAAGATTAACCAATTTTTTATAGTTCATGTTTTGTCTTTTTTATTGTTCATATAGGTAAAGGAAGACAAAAGTGAAAATGATTCATTCACCAAAGCTTGTTGATGTTGGTAGCGCTGAAAGATGTTTACAACATCCACATAACATTATTGTACACTACTGCACATCACATGACGAGGTCGGATGTTCCGAATGTACGTCCAAAAACCACAGCGCATGCGCTGTGGAGAGCGTTGACAGTATTGCTGTTGGGACAATTGATTCTGTAGAGTATAAACATCTGATTAAAGAGCTGACAGAAGTTAAACATCAAGCTGAAGAAAATGAAAAGGCGGCTTTAGATAATAAGCTAAAATCTGATAAATCTTTATCAAGCACCATGCTAGATGTGAGGACATTCAAGAATGATATTAATGCTCATTTAGATCAGATGGAAAAAGAAATAGAAAACCAAGCAAAAGATGCAAATGTTGAATATAAAATAGCAATGGATGAAAAGATATCTGAAAGTAAAAACGTACAAAAGAATGTAGAGAAATGTTTAAAGGAATTCAAGGACTTAGAAACAAAAGCTACGAGATTATTTATCAAGATTACTAGAAGAAAGATGGATCTTTTGAAATTCAGACATGACTCTGAAAGGTATAAACCAGCACCCGCGCAGTGCTTTTCATTTAAACCAAACGTACGCCTTTCAGATATATTTAGAACAAGTAACAATTTAGGAAAGCTAGAAATTGGTCAAGAATGTCAAGGGCTAGTTTCTGTTACAGATCCGACAGAAAAACTTACTGTTGTGGTTAATGAAAAGCAAACTAGACGTGGCACAAACAAACCAGTAGCACAGAAAGAATTATGTTCTGTAAATCAGGTTTTGAAGACTAATGAGGTGAATTCAGACTTTGGTACAGTCATGCGAGATAGCACAGAGAAAGAAAATTCGAAATATGATGTAGATACTAATTCAGAAACTAATTCAGTTGTGTTTGAAGACAATGGTGGACCAAATTTGCAAATAAATGCTGATGGTAAATTAATTGTCAAACTTTTTTCAGACAAGGAAGATTGTGATATATCAGGTATTGATATGATTTCTGACAACGAGCTGGTCCTCGCTGATTACAATAACAGGTCTGTTAAAGTTCTAGACATGATTAAGAATAAAATAACACACGAAATGAAGCTTGAATACCATCCGTATGATTTGACTGTACCGTGTACAAACACTGTTGCAGTGACCCTAACCAACACCATTCAGATAATCACAAAATCCCATCTTCTACGGTTAGGGGACAGTATCACAGTAGATGGAGAGTGCTATGGTATTACAAGTAGCCGCACAAAATACTTTGTGTCTTTCATTAAGCCTGTTCCTAAAGTGGCCATTTTGAATCACCAAGGAGATGTGTTGCAGACGTTTAGCAGTGATCACATCAAACGACTGGCGATTAAACGACCCCGGTATTTAGACATAAGTCCGGATGAAAAATACATCTATGTAACAGACTTTGGGAAGGACTGTATCATACAATTAAGCGCCTCTGGAGAGTTGATAAATACTTTTTCAGATGCATCCATATTAAATGGACCATATGGACTACATGTGGACGAGAGAGGATGTGTTTTGGTTTGTAACTATGGCAACGATAATATTTATGAATTTTCTGCGGATCTATCCAAGCACAGAATAGTTTTGTCAAAATCTGATGGAGTAGAGTCTCCGCAAGTAATATTCATGTGTAATAAGGAGGAGAAGTTGTATATTGCCTCCACCGACAGTGCTGATTGCAATGAAATACAAGTGTTTAGTCACTATGAATGCAGTAAATTGTAACACTGGCAAGTTGACCTTTCGTCGTGGAATGGCAGTGACTTTACCATTCGAATTTTAAACCCACAGTAAAGTCTCTTGTCACCGTCAGATAGCAAAACGCTCGCTATTTCGCCCGTAGATTATTTTCGGGTATGTTGGGACCAGAGCAAAACTTTCGTTTTGATCCACATTGGGGGATTAAAACAGGGAGTTATCCCCCCCCCCATCACACAAACTTATGTTGGGGACGGCATTACATATTAATGTGTCATAAATTTGCCATGTGCAATAGTGATAGGTTTTCTTCACAACCATGACGGATGCATAATTATAGAAATTAACAAGCTTTATTTCAATATAAATAAACTTTACTCTGATATCACATTTGTATTTAAGAATATTTATTTGTTTGTTTGATTTGGTTTTACGTCACACCGACACAGTATAGGTCATATGGCGACGTGGTGGAGGAAGACCTCAGATGCCCTTTTGTGTATTATTTCAGTCATGAACTGACACCTGAGTAGAACCGCCGATGTTCCATAAGCTAGCTGGATAGCTTCCTCACATGAAAGAGTCCAATATGTCCCTGTCGAGATTCAAACCCACAGTGTGAAGGGCAAGTGGTTTGAAGTCAACAACCTTAACCATTCAACCACGAACGCCCCCATTTGAGAACATTAAATAATTTCTAAGACAGAAATGCTTAGAAATTAACCATACGCCATGAAAGAACGATAACAGCAGCATTATGGTGCTGTTTTCATCTTTGATATTTTATAATTCAAATGGTCACTATTCAGAATGTAACATAATCTCACCTTTTAAATGTAAAATACTAGGTATTGATTACTTAAACTATAGTTTGAATTATTATTTGCCTATATTAACCAAACATATAGAAAGAGTAAAGAGGAATTGGCAAAATATCGGTCCGCTAACAGTAGGCTTGCATTAAAATGAAAACCAACAATTCAAATCCTTTGATTAACACTAGCAGAACTTTTTGACTTAATTCACTACAGCTTACTTTTAGTTTCAAGTTGGCCAAGGAAAGGTAAGACTAATAGCGCATTCTATGCAACCTATAATATGGTTAATTTGTTATGGTACAATTTTAATCAAATTTTAAACTTGTTTCCCACAGTTTAAAAATAAACAAAATGAAACGAACGTTTGTATCACAAAGCACATAATTGAGCCGCGTCACGACAAAACCAACATAATGGGTTTGCGACCAGCATGGATCCAGACCAGCCTGCGCATCCGCGCAGTCTGATCAGGATCCATGCTGTTCGCCATCAGTTTCTCTACTTGTTATAGGGTTTGTAAGCGAACAGCATGGATCCTGATCAGACTGCGCGGATGCGCAGGCTGGTCTGGATCCATGCTGGTCGCAAACCCATTATGTTGGTTTTGTCATGACACGGCTCATATGTATGGAAATTGTAATTGCAATAAATCACAAGGATTTAAGCCCAATTACCAAATCTAATATATATGTGTGGCATTAGGCATACATGTTTCGGCCAAGTATTCAACCGCCATATGGGACCCCGAATATACTTTCGTATTACTATTGAAAATCACAATAATAGGTTATGTGAAAATGAACCATTTAAAAATTGAGATAGCAAGTTTTAGTTTATCCAGTGCTTCAAGATAAGATTGTTATAGTTATACAAATGTTTGAGGATATATAAATGATACACAAGATAAGAAGACGACCTATATACTTCCCTACAAAGATAGTTAACTGGTCAATATTTTGTCACATATTATCTTTATGCTATAAAGAAATACGCCAATTCTTTTAAATTTAAATTGTCTAAAATAGAGAGAATAAGAATTCCCTCAGAAAGCACAAAACGGCAATAAAGAACATTCTATCAAAAAATAAAGTGAATTCCTAAAAAATGCATAAAGCTTTAAATAGCCCTTTCTCTGTTAGTAACGGGATGCTCAGAGGTACGCAAAGAACCACATAATATACATTGTGTAATAACCTCATTTCATAGTTAGGGTGAGGGATTAATATTTTGAGATTTGTTTACTCATTTAAATCCGTGCAATTGTCAACTGTCCTTTGGGATTACCGTCATATATTTGTACATTTCATACATATTTCTAACAAAAGGGATTATTTTCAACATACGAGACAAACTTTTGTTTCACAGTATAAATTGAAAAAAAAGTTAAATTTGTTGGCATATTTATACATATCTAACTCATATTTATCAATAATGAGTGGAAATATTGAAAGTGTTTTTGTTTGTTTAGCATTTACTATTTGTTTTATCGGTTGCATTAAAGGTATAGTGTTTTAGATAGTTTCATTAAAGAGTATGCGTGCATTTCCCCCATTTTTGATCAATTTTTATCCCACCAAAATCAAACTACATATTTTCTGATAAATAACCTACAAGTTAAATATTTCTCAGAAATTAATTTTGACATTCTGTTGGGATAAGTTTTATCATTCTAACAACTTACTGTTTAAACGCCTGTCTTTTTATTTCTTGGTAACGTTATTAATACGCCTTTACAGGGCACATGACACTCAAAAATATTCTATTGCATTGTACAATACAACCCTCAAAATAACATATACATCTTAATACAATATAATTACGATGTAATGACATATTTTGTACGCAGAACGCACATGCGCGAAATATAACTTCCGCTACTTTAAGAATCTCGTAAAGACCTATACAATATACCTTATCATATGATTAAGTAATATTTTTGGAGTTTAGATGTGACATCACTGGAATGTTATAGCTGCCAGTCAAAGAACACAGCCAACAGCTGCCAGGCTACCTCCTCGTGCGGACAAAACCAGGTATGTTTCAATCTTATGAATAAAATGTCCCCACTTTACTTGGGTACCTTAACATGTATACAAATCAATTAGTCATTCAAATTTAATCATTTTAGTATGAGCTCGGTAGAGCAACACCCTATGACGAGTTTTTGGTTGTTTTTTGGAAGTGTTGCTCTATAAAGGTTAAATTAATTGTGAATGTTTAATTTTGGAAGATATATAATTGTTGTTGTAAAGAGGTAATTGCTCTGAAGAGGATCACTCTGCGGGGGTTATACTATGAATCAATATAAAAAATTAGAAACAGAAAAAGTGCCCTGTTTTAAATTGCTCGACTATCTTTATCTTCTTTTTTTGGGTGGGTGGGTGATATCTGACAACCTCGATCAAATTCTATCAAAGGGTGGCACACATCAAAAGTGTACTTTTATTGTTTTGAGAATAATGCTTTGGTTACAGATTCAACTCACTTCCTGTAGTTACCACTTGTTCGTACTTGGGTTTATATAAAGCCTTGTCAGTAGTTTTAATAGTGTCCAGCTTTATTTGTCATCCAATGAAAACGATGTATTTCTTAAAAATAGAAGAACAAAAGTCGATACTATATCGAATTCCGTTCATAGTCGACTTCTATTTTTCATAGTATTTCATAGAACCTCATAGTGTCGTAATAAAGGCCAAATAAAGCTTGACACTAAGTATGTTAGTATTCATCCGCAGCTGTTCTACAGAAATTAGAAACATTCTTCTGTCGCTATCGCTCCCGTCGAAGTTTCTTATTTCTGTAGAACAGCACGGATGAACACTAATATGAGCAGCGTCATGACAAAGCCAACATAGTGGGTTTGCGACCAGCATGGATCCAGACCAGCCTGCACATCCGCGCAGTCTGATCAGGATCCATGCTGTTCGCTTACAAACCCTTTTACAAGTCGAGAAACTGATAGCGAACAGCATGGATCCTGATCAGACTGCGCGGAAGCACACCCACTATGTTGGTTTTGTCATGGCGCGGCTCATATATACTTAGAGGGCGATCAAACACCAGAACATCTCACTTTCTGAACGTATGTTAAATATTCTGTTAGGTGTGCATGCTACGACGAACAGTGAACAACCAAACTCAGGAAATACATTACGAGTCGAAATGCGAAGACAAAACTGTAAGTGTATTTCCAGTGTGGTACGTAATTTCTCATTGTTCAAATACGTAAACATCAATTGTTCAATGTGATTTGCTGAAGCATTTACTCAATAGAGCTCAACCTCCTGTCAAAATAATGAAACTATTACACAGCCAATCAACACAATCAACGAGCATTCTGTTGAGTGGACGCAAATTATAACGTCACAAGTGTAAGGATTTTTACCTTCATCACCGAAGCTATATAGATTTCACGAATCGTTCGGACTGATAGCAAGTACTTCCAGTTACACCGCGATACAACGTAGTTCTTCGGAACTTTATTTTTACTAAGTGTAATGCGACTTTTACACGATTTCTACAAAACATAAGCTATTTTTGTTCTCCTTTTGTTCATTGAATCCGTGTGTTTACTTCAGGATTGTGATTTGGAGCTTGATCGATACAAGGCAATTTTGAGCGCATTGGTTGGTAAGAAACGTGCTATGATGAAACAAATCGTAGCAGGTTCGTCTCCTGGCTCTCCAGTTAGACCAGTTTCTTTAATATGTCAGCCAATTCTTGTTTATTTAAACATTCGGTATCCATTTAAACTTGGTTGTGAAATAAGTTGTTACAACTTATATCAATCACATAATATTATAGACCAGTTGCGTTAATGTGTCAGTCGTTCTTTGTTTGGTTGATAGGACACATTTATGCTCGGTTGTGAAGCAAGTTCTTGCAACTCATTATTCTCGTTTTAGTCCGCTTCCTTAAACTAACCACTTCCAGGGATATAGATGCATAAAAATATATGGTCGCGACAAGAATATAGCTCAAACCAAAGCCCGCCTGATTTAGAGACCAGCCCCAATCGTCTCCATTCATAAGTCTCTTTGCAAGCCATTGACAAACTAACACTTTAAGTAAAGTCTTTTTTCGTTAAATAGTTGTTTGGTGATTGATTGATCGCCGATGACTAAGTCGATTCTTAACACATTGATGACTTTTTAAAATCATGTTAATCCAATACAGGTGATGTGTGTTTGATACAATGTTGTGACCAAGACCTTTGCAATAACGGATGCGTCATGTCATCGAATCTAAGCTACACAATGACGTCCAATCCGTTTGCGACTACAAAGATGATTCCTGCAAACCAAGCCCCAACAAATTCTCTTCAAAACATGACAGCACTTACCCAGAGTTCATCAGCTCTGACATCCTTGAATATTATTTTTCCAACAAAACCATCAAAAGCAATATCAACAGATGCGACTCCACCTAAAGTACCACGACTCCATCTGTAACCGTATCAACAACCGCTAGCAGTAGCAGCAGCAATGTTAACAGTGTTTCCAGCGGTAATACCGTCACAACTCCATATGTTCAGTCGTCACGTCAGCCCAGTGCTCCAGCAGTGTCGACAACGTCATGGCCACGTACGACAACTCGACAGAGCACTACAACAAAAGTCATCCAACACACAACAATGTCTAACACCCCACATCCACGCACAACATCTCCTGCAGCAGTAAGCCAGAGTGTTTCAACAAAAGACACTCAAAGTACTAGAATGACAGAGTCTGTCACCCCACTTACATATACAACAAAAATAGACAAGATCACAACGTCAAGTCCTATAAAAGGTAAATGCTTTAGTATAGCTCCAAAAGAATTACCGTAATATATTGCGCTCCGGGAAGTAAGATGTACGCTTGCAGTATTCCAAATGGTACCAATACTAAAACGCCGTTAGTAAGTTGGTAACTACCATTGATACTACTGGTTGGTATAACTGGCTAAGTGTATTTTATCCTATAATATATGCTATTAGCATGTTAATATTAATTAAAGCACTGGTACCAATTGTGATCAAAAGATACCAGCAGTCAACAAATGCTCATCAGATGGCTTTGCGACAATTTTTTTGGCAATCTTTCTTTTTAATAGGGATGAAACGAGGAAATAGTTTAAGGAACAAAAAAGAACATTCTGGACCCGCGTCCACAAAGAATAATGAGACGAGTAAAAATCAATATCAGGGAAAATGATTATGTTTATTCTTAATATTAAATATGTATTTAATATCAAATATAATCTTTTAAGTAGTCAACTTGAAATGGTATCATTATGTTTATGGCATGTTATTAAAAACTCATATTTACACAAGATATGATGATGAGCTAAAGGTATTTCAAGAACATCAAACTTAAAAAAATATAATAAATTTTAAGGAAAGTAAAAAAAATAAAGTAATAATTTACATGTTCTATGCGATTAATGATTTTGCAGTATTTTCACCATATTCTTAATACGTTACTTACACAGACAGGACTAGATTTTTGCATGTTTTGACATATTTTTTGAAATTTTCGTGGAGTAAAAGTGCCGTTTGTATTGTGTAAATATTTTGTTCACGTCACTTTTATTTTACTTTTATCCCAAAACAAGTTTGTTTCGTTGCAACTCAGCACTTTTTGTACATTTTGTATCATACCTTTTATTTTTTTAGCCTTATATCATTCATCAATATGAATTTCATTCAACAATAAAATCAGGGCAGCGTCGCCATTTTGAATGACGTCATAACTAGACTTGCATTTTGTTTTATTATTTTACAGAGTGTCCATATGGATTTGTGAAATTCGACACTTCTTGTTACTTATTTGGTAGACATGAAATGAGCTTCCACGACGCTCATGTAAGTTTTGACACTTTCATTTATTAATGATAGAAATTTAGGTCACAAGCGGTCATATAGATAAACTCAATGCAAGTTATCTGCAAATTAATTTAATATTTCGTCTTTTTTCTTCAGTTTTCCAATGTGAAACTTAAACTTATCTATTAAATGTACAACATTCCACCAAATAATAACAGAAATTCAACGGACAATCAATTTAATATAAAACGAATTCTATAGAAAAATGATTTATAATTTTGTGCAATTATTTTACAGTTATTCTGCGCCAAGCACAACTCGCATTTAGTCCATGTAGATTCTTCAAGGGAGAACAATTATTTGAAAAACCATTTTAAAACTATGCATAGAGGTATGTGTGTATGTGTAACCGGTACTGTTCCAACTAACTTACGTTCATTAACCCTTAGACTGTTTGAACCGGAAGTGTTTAACTTTTGCACCCAGTATAGACTACACTGAGGTCAAAAAGCATAGAGATATAAAATATGAATTTCTTACATAGATCACCTGAGGAACTTAAATCAGAAAGATATGTAAAAGATAATTAAGAAATATACGAAGAAATAAATTAATAATCGTATTTTTGCTCTATCCATAGCTCAAAAGCGTTGCAACGCTTTTCAATTTTTGGTCAATTTTTTACAAGTAGAACCATTATTCTGGAAAAACGAAGCGAGTGAATCATATTATATTTTGCACATAACTTATTGGTCTAGATCTACATCAAATGGAAAATCAATCTTGGAAAATTATTTCCAGTCCCTTCATGTCAATAAAACCCTCAGTGGAGTCCCTTTAACTCCATCCTGCACGTGCATGCGTGAAATTTGACCAGGCTTAATACTTTTGGAAGCTCAATTTCTGAATTTTTATACTTAAATCCCATTAACTTTGAATGGACTTCAGCAGGTTGAGTGAAAAATTTAATATGCAATATGAAACTCTTCAACCCTGTTAGCAATAAATGTCAGTGCATCTTGGTGGTGTAATTTCAGGATTTTATATCCTAATGGGCATCTCTGAGAATCAGCTTTTTTTATCTTTAAGAGTCACCTCCCCTTTTTGCATTTTGCCCAAATTTAAATAATAGAACTGTTGGGTGATGTTTTGTTTTCTCTTTTGTTTTCTGAAGTAGCGTATTACTGGTGGTATCTTTGTAATAGCTTGTTTCGATGCCAATTTATAATATACATTTATATCATTGAGTATCATCAATTCCATTTAATACAAATTCATGCAATAATGTACAATATTTTTAATCCGTTTTAGGTCCAATTCAATATTGGATAGGTATTACAGACGAAATAACGGAGAACGTGTGGCAATATTACGATTCCGGAAAAGTTGCAACATTTTATGACTGGTCCCCGGGAGAACCAGATGGTACCCAGGCATTTGACGGGAACGCTGTCGCAGACTGTGCCGTTTTCGATCCATATTTAGACTTTCAATGGAGAGATGAGGACTGTTCACCGTATCAAGTATCTGAACCAGTCTGTGAAATAAGGTACCAGCTGTAGTTTTCCAGGTTGTTATAATGACGTATGAGGTTCAAATTCATTTGTTTCTCCATGCTGTTTATTGCCATACCACGAACTTCCCAAATGCCTCCAGTTAAAATTCATGAAATCTAGCATACACACACGAAACACAAGTTCTACAATGGCTTATTGGATATACTTTTTGTTTCTTAATGAATTCAACAATGATTTCAAACTAACAAAATTTAGAATGTATAACAGTATAGAAATAACACTAGAGTCTGATTTCCACCTCTTGTCTTGTTCGCAAAACAATTGCATTGCATAACCCGCCTAGGAATACAAATTACTTTTCAAAAATAAATGGACAGTAGAAGTCGAACTTTCCATTCGACCCACGTTTTAAAACATATGTACCATTTACACCGAATTGCGCCTTTCAGTGTCAAAGTACAATCATAATACAGCAAATTAAACAATTTAATTTAACATAGATCTACAACATCGTCACCTTAATGCAGTAACGGGTTAACTTCTATTGAATTTTAATAGACTGAATTAATGTGACGAATATTATATATAGCCTATTTCACCATTCACTGTTAACTAAGCATCCTTAATACAGCCGAATTACTGAATGCACTATACAGCATTATGTATATACAACCAATTGCATTAAACAAGTAAAATGGTTTCCTGCAGGGAACATTTTTGATGATATAAAGATATTTCATTTAACTATCTTTAACATTGTTTGGGTGGGTGGATAAATAAACGTTTGTATCAGGAATATAGTTGACAATAATCGATCAATATAGAAGAAGGTCTTTGGAAACTAGTGACCCTGAATGACCGGAGAAGGTCGAACATAAAACAATTATTTCATTTTTAAGAAAATGATTAAATAGGCCTACCATTTTATGAATAATTCCGATCAAAAAAAAAAAAAAAAAAAAAAAGCAAAAAAAGCAAACACAAGTTTTCGCAGAAAACATCTCTATTTAATATGGCAGATGCCACTACGAATATTTTAATTTTGTAGATTTTCAGTATTAACAATTTATTGTTTGTAACATTTTGAGATACATATTAAAGAAACATTGATAATTTTCAAACACATCATTCAAGTTTTTCCACCTTAAACGGTATTATAATTATAGAAAATTAAAAATATCACGTAATAGTTTTTTGTTCTTAATTAGGTGTAATTCTGACTTATTCCCTAGAGGATTATCTGTAACGTACCGGCAAACGGTATTTAGCCAGGTTTTCGAAAAGGTCAATTAACCAATCATGTACGGTTTACAGATCACATGCTCCTCCATGTACCGAAAACAGGTCACGTGCTCCTCCATGCCTCAAAAGTTAAACGCGTACCAATACCCTGCGGTCTCCAGACCGCAGGGAATAATTGCCAATAAAATGTTCTCTTTTTTATATTTCGAGCATGAAAGAATCCGCTTAGTTTACAGTAATGAATAAAATTACTTTTAAGTATTGTATGCTTTCGGATCTGATATTTTTTCATTATTTATTATGTAAGTTATCATTTTATGTAACATGTTTGAGCCATTGTTTGAAATAAAATATGTTTCGAAAAAAAAATTGCATTATTGAAAGTCAGTAGATATTCATTAAGTTATCAATCGTACTATTAGTATCAACGTACATTTAATTAACTGTTTCGCAATGATAGTGTTTCACGACTTATCTTTCTGTTGTTTTTTTCCAGTCAGTAGGAGTTGTTGTTGTAGCACAGAAATGGACATTTCAGACATTATACGGGTACTTGTTTGTATTTACCCATTTATGTAATTATCTATTGTAATAAAGTTAGATCTTACGATGATCAGTAACTGTTTTGTACTATAATATCAGATATTCTGTATGGGAACGACGTGTGTCAGCTAGGTCTGAGAGTACTAAAATTTATATCATTAATAGCGTTCGTCGGCGTGTTTTACAGTTCAAGACCTTGCAGACGAATTAAATGGCTTCAGGCGGTGCTGGGGGGCGTTATGCACATTTCCATTATTCCTCATCAAACCCAGTCTGAAGATTTCCTTTTTTATTATGTTGTTTCCATGGCTTCCGAGAGATCACACCTTTGTTTCAGATTTGTTTTACAATGAATACAAAGACTATGTAGGGCATTACATTGTACTTTTTCCAATCCTGAGATGAAAAAAAATCCGATTCATACAAAATGTTAAAAACAACTTATTTCAGATAACCAGTAATAAAGCTTTCGGAGTCGCACTTTGTAAGAGTTTTTTTCCATAAAATTATTGTTTATATTATAAAATATGAAATGACAATGACATATTCATATAAATCATTCCTACATCAACTGTATTGGGAACTACACTTATGCCTATTGCAGGCAGAACAACCATTACAAACCAAGTGCAACTAAACAATATATTTTTCTACAAATGAATATTATGAAAAATACAAATATTACCGCTAAGTTGCTAATGAAATTGTCATGGTGTCTAATCGAAACAAATGGCATTATACACAAAACGTGAAAAGTCTTTTGAATAGAAACGAAACGTTTGTATATTGAAGGACATTTTAAGATACTAAAGTCTTGTTATCTTCTATTGAATAATAATATAACATCAACATCAATATCATCAACAACAGGTAGTATACAGTCAAGTAAATGGTTTTTTAATTCTACTCAAAGCGTGGTAAAGTTAAACTGATTATATACAAATTATACAAATACACCTGAAGAGGTATGTGTAAGCAGTATACTTAAAGACACGAATTCAGTATTATTTTATACTGATGATAATAGTACGATAACAAACCTAGAAACTTTGTTTGATTCGAAAACTTATAGATTAGACAGTACGTCGTTCAATATGAGTGCTAGTAATATTGATGCTAGGGCGGAGGCACAACCTATAATACCATCTAATGCAGATTTGATGAAATGTTTGATGAAAATACATGAAAGGTTTGATGGTATGGTAAAACGTTTAAGTACACTTGAATATCTTTAAAAAAAGTCGACAAATTTGAGCTTGAAATAAATAAAATGTGGAACTATGTTCAAGACCAGAATGTTGCCACAAATGAGAGAATTTTGAAGGTGGGGGAGATAACTGAAAGTGTTTATTTCAATCTTTGCGTATCAATGTCTCGAATTTTGGATCTAGAATCTCTAAATAAAATTTTTTACCATGACCTACTTTATCAAATGTCGTAAAGCATGCGTAATTACCTCGTATTTGGTAACATTCCCGAGGAGGCCCAGTCAGGTAAATCGGAGGAAACATAGAAAGTTTAGTAGATAAAATGAAGTTTGCTAAGGAGATGATTGCCCAAATTCAGTTTAAAAGAGTACACAGAACAGGTGAAAGGGTTGAAAGAAAGCATAGAAAAATTGTAGCAAAATTCACATTATTTAAGGAAAAAGAGCTAGTGAGAAAGTCATGGAAAGCACTTGAATTTTTTTTAAAACTTTTTATTTACATGAGCAATATCCAAAAGAGATTGCTGATAAAAGACGTTTATTAATGAAAAAGCGAAGGAGGCGAAAAGTGGGGGAAAGAGAGCGTGGGTGTCCTATGACACTCTCTACATAGACTGGCATGCACAAGAGGATGTAAAGGGATACAGTGGGGATGGTTTAAGTGTTTTGTCATGGAATGTTAATAGACTTACAAATATTAAAAAGAGTAGCAGGGATTTTGTAAATATTTACATCTAAAGACATTATATTTTTATATATCTTTATAAGAAACATGGACATCTAAAACAAGTAAAATAGACATTGATGGTTATACAACTCATAACTTACCGGTATATCGTAAATTTCAGCATCGCAGAGGTAAGCGATCTAGTGGGGGGGGGGGGGGTACAGCAATATAATTATTATAATCAACGGGCTGCAAGCTTTGTGGTATTTTCTGATCTGTATATCTGTATGTATTTTCCTGTATAAGTTTATTTTTATATACTATAATTTTTTACTATAACAGTTTGAGTTTGATACATACGGACTTTTGCACGACTAGAGTTGTATTAAAATTCACAAGTGTTCATTGTTTTTGACAGCCACACTTTATCCTTGCATATCGTAGCTACTTCCTTAATAAAAAAAGTTGCCTAGACTGTGATTTGAACCCAAGACCTCTCACACAATACACGAGCGCAGAGCGCGTTAGCCCTGCACCAAGGAGATGTTTAACGAAAACAGCCTGAATAAAATCAAATAATTCAAATTTTAGAATATCCATTCCCACAGATATATAGATATCATAATTAGCTCCAGGGTAATCCTTATAAGTTTCGAGGTATTTTGTTCACGATATACCTGTTGTTTAACATTGATGTAAATAATTTAGCGAAAAACAGTGTGACATGTACCTTTTCCACTACTCGAAAGTGTAATACGCTCTGAGGTATTCGGTAATCGACATCGCTAAAAATAACATTTGACAATTCTAGAAGCCAATGCTACTTTTAAACTTTGAATGTGTTATAATTTGTTTGATACTTGTAACAAAATAAAAATATTTCTTTCTTTTACATCGCTAGTTTTAAGCTGTTTTGAGAACTACTTGTTGTTAGGTTTGTCGTGAAGCTAGCTTCTGTGTCAGAAGTTGAATGTCAGCATTGAATTTTCTGATCTGAGATCAGAAAATACAAAAACTGTCTAAAAGATGGTATTCATATAGTTCGAAACCATTATGATACTGTATGGCTTAAGCTAGATAAGGATCTTTTCATGTTGTAAAAGATATTTATCTATGCGCAATATATTTATGGTGTGAAGCTTCGCCAGCTTATGATGTATCAATCTCCTACGCAGTGATCTCCCCTTATCAGTACAGAGATCTCTGCCATCACAAACATTGAAATATCCAAATTTGGATATTTATTTTTTTTAGCTTTTTAATTTATTTTTCATTATTTTGTGTACTTTTGATAATTTTTTGTTAAAATATAACGAACGTAGGTACAAAAAGTTAAAAATAAAACAGAAAGAGAAAAATGACGTTAGATTTTCTATGTAACGGTCGATATTTACATTTCTTGCATATCGGACTGGCGTTTCCGTGAGTTTTAACCATGCCGGAAATTTCATCTGGCATGGGGGGCGCCAGACGAGTCGCGTGCCAAACAACAACGTCATTTTAGCGCACTTTATGAATGAACCGCGTTAAAATGACGTCGTTTTAGAAGGGAAATATGTGCTTATGATGACGTCATTTCACTGTTGTTATTTAAGTTGTAAGTTCATACGCTATTGTAAGAAAATAGTTAGGGAGGAAATGACTTTAATTTCCATGATCATATATTATATTGAGGTAAACCATTTTAAATATGAAATAATATGGCAGAATATGCAAGAAAAAATATCTAACATATGTTTGCGGTTCGGATCGGAATATCCGTCCCTCGGGAACCCGCCCATGGGCGGGTCCCCTCGGGACGGATATTCCGGTCCGAACCGCAACATATGACAGATATTATTATTGAATTTCGACGTTACGTCATGTGACTTTCATCATCATGTGACGTCTGTGAAGGCAGTGATTACAATCCTGCCAAGGGAGGTAATCAGTGTGAGGAGTTTGATGATGTATGTAATGTAGATTTATTTGATCTCATTCAAAATGATGTGTTTGATTTTGAAAGTCAAGGGTCATGCTATTTTATCGGAGACTGGAATAGTCGTATTGGTCTAAGGAATTATCTTATTACATGTGATATGTACAAGAAAAGCATTGATGCAAAGCATCAAAGGGCGTCCAAGCAAGAAATGCAGCAAGTGAAGATGAACTAGTATACATATGATGACAAGATATTCTTATAAACTACCAGAAATGTATACCACTTATGAATGAGCGGACGAAAGACATTGTTCATTATGAACTTTGATTGGCATGCTAGAGATTAGAATATTACTTGTTATTTCTTTATGATCGTGGTTATTAATAGCAACGGATATACATGTATGCAATCATTTATAATCCATATGTGTAACGCATGATCAACACGTACCACACATTTGTCCCTTATTATGTACATGTTATCGCTATTAGCGAAGACCCCCTTAAGGTATCTGTTCACACTTTAAGTTAGTAAAAATATGACACTGGTTATATTACCATGTTGATCATGTTGAGCATAATTGTTTATTATACAATAATTGTAATATCTATTAATTTTAATTAAAAAAATACAAATTTTATGAATATTGTTTTCTTTTATTCTTTTTTGTGTTTTATGTGCTATTTTAATACTGAGTTTTTACTACTCTTTTTTATTAAAATTGTAAAATAAATTTTAAGAATTCAATTGTCATATTGACCGACGATTATAAGTCAAAGCTTAACTGGAAAAAGTCAGTAAATTATGGTTTATCTTTCAATATATAATATTGTTTATTCTTAAACCATGTACATGTACATTGTATTTTTCTTTATCATTTTTTAAATTATCGATCAATTGAATAATTCATAAAATCTAATTTGTAACTTTGAATAATTCCTCGGCATCTTTACTAAACACGGATAACAAATTGAATAATTAAATAAAATGTTTCAAAGTTGATAATGTCATTTTAATACCATAAAAAATGTACCTTTTTCTCAATTATTGTACATATCACGGATTTATATTACATATAAATCCGTGTACATATTTATTGTTTTTAATTAAATAAAATGTTTCAAAGTTGATAATGTCATTTTAATACCATAAAAAATGTACCTTTTTCTCAATTATTGTACATATCACGGATTTATATTACATATAAATCCGTGTACATATTTATTGTTTTTATCTCATATAGATAAAATGAAACATGCTATTGTTGTTTTTTTC